TGCCAGGAAAAGAAGAAATACCTCCTGACTGGGCAAGCCTGTTGTCTGGGGACAGGTGACCCAACCAGCCATGCCAGGTGCTCACCCCATAAGGTCCCAGGAGCACTGAGACTCCGGGACTCTGTAGTGACCTGGCAGCCAGTGCTTGGGGCTCTAACCTGCAGGGGTGAGGTGTCAGCACCACTCGTTCAAGCCATGATTTTAACCCCTAGGGTCTTTTGAGGCACAGCAACACAGGCATACCTTCTTAGTCTGCTGTCCTGTCTACCCTCTCTGTGTGGATGGACTGAGGCTGATTTCTGATCATTTTTCTTATGACAGGGGCATCTTTTCAGGAAAAATAGAGCTGGGGCCATTAGCCCCAAGGACTCAAGCATCAAGGCTCCAAGCTCTTCTCTTCGCTGCTCATCTCAAAGAGACTCTGAAAATAGTAATCTGTGTGTTCTCCCTCTCATTGTGTAGCTAGAAGAAAACTATTTACTTTCTGCCTGAGTGTTTTTCTTCTCTGGTCTAGCAACCGAGGGAGTGCTAGATTTGGAATTCAAATTTGAAACTGTGGCCAACATGAGCAGCCTGTGGTGTCCTGATAGACATGACTCTTGAAATTGATGCCATTTTACTTATTATTTCTCTGTATGAGGTTCTATAAGAAGTGAGGAATGGTGGCCGCATACCAGCTTGGCAGTTATCTGTACGGACCTGGGGAGTTAACTAGGTTGATAACTTCACAGCATCACTTCTGTGACTTTGCCAAGCATTGCCACTTGAGATAATCTCCAAAGTGGGGTGTGTTCACCCCAGTGGAGGGCAAAGATGATCCTTTGGAGTGCCATAAAAAACACCCATTTTATGTATAAATGCATGTGTAGAAGTAAATATATACATCTGGAAGTTTATATTTTAGTATGCATAATATGTGAATTTAGCATCATATGATGTGTGTGTGTGTGTGTGTGTGTGTGTGTATGTGTATGTTCATTTTATGTGTCTGCACACACATAGACAAGTTCATTTTTTGTTGTTGTTGGGGAATCCAGGCAAAATTTTTTGGATACACTGGCCTATTGAATCTCTCTTCTCACCAGGGTACTGAGTATGTGTCAACTTCAGGGCTATTCATTTTCATCCAGAGGTATTCACTGACATTATACATCCACTGGTGCGGGAGATACTAAGTGACTGAACCACAGTTGCTATTATTAGGGCAGGTGTAGGTGGGCAGCGTTAACCACAGGAAAAGAGGAGGGGGGCAAAAAGGAGGAGACCAATGAGCACTTAGAACCTAACCCACAATGGCAGGAATTTGCAGTTAGGGACTTTTCCCAGCCAGCAGCATGCACAAATCCTAGGAGCTGGTACCAAAGGCATAGGCCCCTATTCCTGGCTAATTTTTTAACATTTTGTAGAGATGGGGGTCTTGCTCATTTGCCCAGGCTGATCTCAAATCTTGGCCTCAAGCAATCCTCCCAACTCAGCCTCCCAATGTGCTGGGATTACAGGCATCATCCATTGCACTTGGCCTGCTTACAATCTTATTAGGGAAATATAACAGGCACATAAGAAGTTGGACTACAAGGAAGCATATTAGGAAGAAAAAGAAGGCAGAAGGAGCCAAATCAGGACTGTAAGGTGAATGCCAAATGATTTCTCATCAAAACTCTTGTAAAATTGCCCTTGTTTGATGAGAGGAATGAGCAGGAGTGTTTTCATGGTGGAGAAGAACTCTCTGGTGAAGCTTTCCTTGGGGTTGTTCTGCTAAAGCTTTGGATAACTCTCTCAAAACATCGTATAATAAGCAGATATTATCATTCTTTGGCCCTTTAGAAAGTCAACAAGCAAAATGCCTTGAGCATCCCCCAAAATTGTTGCCATGACCTTTGCTCTTGAGCAGTCCACTTTGACTTTGCCTGGACCATTTCCATCTCTGGGTGGCCATTGCTTTGTGCTTTGTCTTCAGGATCTCACTGGTAAAGCCATGTTTCATCTCTTCTTGCAGTTCTTTCAAGAAATGCTTCAGGTTGTTGATCCCACTTGTTTAAAATTTCTATCAAAAGCTCTGCTCTTGTCTGCAGCTGATCTGCATGTAATGGTTTTGGCACCCATCAAATGGGAAGTTTGCTTGACTTTAATTTTTCAGTCAGAATTGTGTAAGCTGGACCAATTGAGATGTCTGTGGTGCTGGCTGTTGTTTCTGCTGTTAATTTTCTTCTTCAGTTAGGATATAAACAAGGTGAATTTTTTCCTCATAAAATGATGTGGATGGTCTGCTCTTACGGGCTTCATCTTCAACATCATCTCTTCCCATCTTTATCCATTTATAAATTGCTGATTTCTTTGAGGTGCTACCCCCATAAACTTTTCACAAAGTGTCAATGATTTCATCATTCTTCCACTCAAGTTTCACCATGAATTTGATGTTTGTTCTTGCTTCAATTTTAGTAGAATTTATATAGGTCTGAAAGAGGCTCTTTTTGAACTGATGTTTTATCATTGTTAGAGCCTCAAAGTAGATCCTGTTCAGATTTATTATAACAAGTTAGTGTGAATTTATTTTGGTGCCAAAAAATTTGAAATCTATGCATTTTTTATAACATGCATGTCTCATGAACTTTTGAAGTACCCTTGAATAATTGCATATCTAGCCATTTCTCCTTCCAAACGACATGAGCAACCAGGTGTACTGCTTGAAGTTCTGCCTGCTGGGAAGAGTTCTCTTCACCACTGTTTTTTAGGGATGTCCCAGAGAAAGGTTGTGGTGCTCTGGCTACCCACTTTTGGATGCTGCCTGCATATCATACAGAACCATCTATAAACCAGGCCCAAGTCTTTTCTTCTGTATGATCACTGGGGACTCCTCATGAGGCCATAGGAGAGAGAGGCCATAGCAGAGGCTGAGGGAGAAAAGGCAGTGGGGCAGGACTGGGGACCATAGGCATTTGAGCCACTTCTTATAACTTACTTGTGTCTTCAGGGACTGCTTGGGCCTGATCACATATATAACACTTACCATTTGATGATGGAATGTTGCTGTGCATGCCCCAACTTTATGGCTTGGTGGGTCAGATAACACCCAGTTTATGATGGGCATCTCAGGTTGCATGGTAACTTGGTAGCCCATGGTCAAGGGTTTACACTCCACTAACACCCACTAGCAGGCCAAGAATGTCTCAAAAGGAGAGTAGTTATCTGAGGGTGATAGCCAGGCCTTGCTCCAAAATCCTAAAGGCCTATGCTGTGATTCGCCTATAAGGGCCTGCCAAAGGCTCCAAACAGTATCCCTATCTGCCTCTGACATTTCAAGCACCATTGGATCTGCTGGATCATATAGCTTAAGTGTGTTTGCACAGCAGCTTGAATCTGTTGCAAAGCTTTTTCTTGCTCTGGGCCTTGCTTAAAACTAGCAGCTTTTTGGGCTGCTCAGTAAATGGGCCAGAGTAACACACCCAAATGAAGAATATATTACCTCCAAAACTCAAAGAGGCCCACTGGGTATTGTAATTCATTCAATTGCAGGATGAGGTTTTTCTGTGTTCAATTTTCAGCAATTTCAGCCCTGTGGCTATAGTAGATAAAGCTCTCCTCCAGGGCACACCAGAAGCTCTTAGGTCATTTGTGCAGCTCTTACGCTGGGAATTCAAATCCCTTATTTTACAACTTTGTCCAGGGATGTTGTGAGCAACCAACTAACATCATTATATTCTTTAGTTTTCAAAAAATGTTCAAAAGTATTATATATAGTCACTTAGCTCTTTGCTTCTTCTAAGTGGTTGACTAGAAGCATCCAATGCAGATATTTTGCATATCTCTATAAACAGTTCATGCCATGGACCATCAGTGCTCTATTTACTGCTGGAAACCAGAGTCATTAGCATCTTTAAATCTAATCAAATTAGAGTGCCAGTTCTAGAAGCCCTAGAACCAATTTAGAAAACTCATCTTTAAAATTCTCCTCCTGTAGAACCACTCTTGGTACCAAAATCTATATTGATTAAGGTTTTTCAAAGAAACAGGCCAAATGATTTATTATAGGAATTGGCTCACATGGTTATGAGAAGTCCCATGATCTGTTGTCTGCAAGCTGGAGAACCAGGAAAGCCAGTGGTGTGATTCATTCCCAGTCCAAAGTCCTGAGAATCGGGGGGCTGTGGTGTGACTCTCAGTCTGTATCTGAAAACCCAGGACTTCCAATGTGTAACAGCAGGAAAGATGCATGTCCCAGCTCAAGCAGAGAGTGAATTTGCCCTTCCTCCATCTTTTTGATCTACTCAGGCCATCAGTGCTTGGATGATGCCTGTTCCCTTTGGAAAGGGTGATCTTCTTTACTCAGTCTACTAATTTATATGCTCATCTCTTCCACACACATCTTAGAGAACACATCCAGAAATAATGTACTAGCTATCTGGGCCTCCCCTAATCCAATTAAATTAGACACATAAAATTAACCATCACAGTGTGGATTAATGTATATTTATTTTATTCTTTGGGACATACTATATTTATACTTGGGGACTACTTATTTTGTTGCTCAAATTGTTTCAGCTTTGGCTGTTGGGAGCTCTTTCAGATTGGTTCTTGGGTCCCTTTGACATACCCTTATCCTTTTGTTTTTTGAGCACTTCCTTACTTTGTGATACTACAAGATACTCTAGGCTTATCTTGTATCTTCCCTCTCCTAGTCTTAGAATCAGCCATTTTTCCTGGCTCCTTTTATTGGAGAATGGTATTTAGAAAGCAAAATCTGGGCAGAGAGTGTGCTTGTTGCTATTGGGTTGTCTGTTATTGTTTCTAGGCCTTCTTAGTAGACAGAGCTAGGTTTCATACACATATGCATGCACACACACACAAACACAAATTCATAGATACAAACATATCTATAGTTATTTCTGTATTTATCTATGGTATATATATTAAGGTAAACATGATGGAGGCCCTTCATATTTGCTTATGCTTTTTTTCAACCTACAGCCAGATATAATAACTAGCTTTTCTTCTCTTTGCAGATTCCAGATAATGATCTATTTCATATGTGCCTTCCAGAACATTGCTTGTGGTATCCACTACTTGGCTTCTGTGTTCTTGGTACTTACCCCAGATCATACCTGCAAACCCCCAGGCAATGTGAGTCGGGTTCTTTTCCAGAATTTCTCTCATTGGAGGTTGGAGGACACCTGGTCACTGGTGCCTCTAGGCCCGAAAGATCACATTATAGTGCAACTGCAAGATGGTGAAATCTGGGAGCTCTCAATGTGTAACAGGATGAAGAGGGAGAACATGTCGAGTTTGAATTATGAATACAGTGGCAGTAAGACAAAATATTCTTGTATGGATGGCTACATATATGACCAGAGAAAGTGGAAAAGCACCGTGGTGACCGAGTGGAATCTGGTCTGTGATCGAAAATGGTTCGCAGCACTGGTCCAGCCCCTATTTATGGTTGGGGTCCTGATAGGAGCAGCAGTTTTTGGCTACATTTCTGACAGGTAAAATGAAATATTTAGAATTGTTGCATCAGTGTGTAGGGTTCATTTTCCTAACTGGTTTTCTTAGGAGACAGGAAATTATGTCTAAAACTTCAGTCATTTTCATACCTCCTATCTAAATATCCATCTTTTTGCTGATCTATCATTTAGGGATGCAAAATAATATGATAAGAGGATGCGTTCAAATCCTAGATATACCACTTATTAGCTGTAGATGCTGGACAAATTACCTAACTTACCTGTGTTTCAGAATCTTTGTTTATAAGCTGGTGATGAAAATAATATCACACATCTCAAAGGGTTGTTGCAAAATTATTATAGAAAAAGTACCATGGCCATATAACTACTTAATAGATGCTGGTTATTACTTTGAATATTTTCTTTTCTTTAAATAGACTTGCTTTTCCTTTTCCTTTTTTTTTTTTGGGGGGGGGGGTCTCCTGGCAAGGACCAGAAAACCATCTAGACAAATTCTAAAAGAGCTGTAACATTTAGACTTGCTTTTTAAGAGTGATAGACTGGTTCTAAGCAGTGCTATTTATGAAATTGTGGGCTTAATATAATAGCCTATCTTAGTCTCTTTGTGCTGTAATAACACGATACCACAGACTAGGTAATTTATAAACAATAAAAATTTATTTCTCGTGGTTTTGGAGGCTGAGAAGTCCAAGATCAAGGTGCTGTCAGGATTGGTGTCTGGTGATGGCTTCTGTCAGCTTCCAAGATGGCTCATTGTTGCTGTATCCTCTGGAGGGGACGCATGCAGTGTCCTCACATGACAGAAGGGATGGAAGGGCATGAGAGCACTTCTTTTAACCTTGACCCCTTTTGTAATGGTGCTGAGGGCTCTGCTCTAGTCACCTCTCAAAAGCCACACCTCTTAATACTGTTGCACTGAGATTAACGTTCAGCATGAATTTTGGAGAGGACATCATAATTCAAACCATAGCACAACCACATTTTTTAAAATTTACATTAAAATGGATATATAATTCTTAAAGCAAAGTTCAATTTAAGTACTTTAAGTAACTTTAAGTACCTACGCTTAAGCACAGAGATGAACTTATTTGATTTCCATAGTTGTGAATTTTACAGACATATGCTGGGCACTGGAGACCTAAAGATAATAGCTTAGGTCAAAAATTCCTGTCCTCTCTGTACACGAGTCTAATGGGGCTCACAGACATGGCCAAAGACAAATCATAGGGCTTTGTTGTGACTAGGGCCATACTTCTCATAGTACATTCATAGGTGCTAGGTATGACTGTTTTCGTTCAGCAAGCTATTACACAAACTGTCACTTGAGCTTTGTCTGTTGAAATGTGTTTAGTGCTTGACAATTGAAACTAAAAATATTTACAACTACATATACTAAATGTACTGAAATACATTTTCTATATGACAAAAGTGGGATATCAAAAATGCTTAAAAAAAGAAATCAAAGTACAAAATATGTTAACTGAAAGAAAGTTTAGTTCTTTCATGTTTAAACCTAGTGTACTTATAAAAACATTGAACACTTACTGTGTACCCACCACTTTGCTAGATTCAGAGGTTTATATCTTTAAAAGTCCTTGAGAAGTTGTAACCACAAGCCAGTACTCAATTGACTGTATAGCTCAAATTAACATCACTTGGGAGCTCCAAAAAAAAAAACCTCACACTAAGAAATCAGTTTTAACATGGTTCCAGACTCTTAGTGTCTTTAGACCCTTGGAAGAAGAAAATTAGTATTCTCTCAGAGGAAGTTGTCATCAATAGAGACAGTCCTCTTTGGATCTCTTGTATTCTTCTACACATTTTACCAAGTGTGCCAAGACTGCAAGTCCTTGACTCCTCTTTTACATGGGCCATTTCTCAGAGTTGTTTATGTAGCTAATATGAGTGCTATGGTTTGAATATGGCATCCTTGTCCCCACCAAAGCTTACGTTGAAATTTGATCACCAGTGTGGCAGTGTTGGGAGGTGGGGCCTAGTGGGAGGTATTTCTGGTATGGGGACAGGTCCCTCATGAATCCTTTGTTGCTGTTCTCATGGCAGTGATTTCTTGCTCTCACAAGACTGGATTAGTTCTCATGGGAGTGGATTGTTACAAACCAGGATGCCCCTCAGTTTTCTCTTTCTTTGCATGTATCTGCTTCCTCTTTGACCTTCTTCACCACGTTGTGATGCAGCATGAAAGCCTTCACCAGAAGCCAAGGCCATGCCTTTGAACTTCTCAGCCTGAAGAACTGTAAGCTAAATAAACCTCTTTTCTTTATAAATTACCCAGTCTCAGGTATTCTTTTATAGCAACACAAAATGAACTAATATGACGAGGTAATGTCCTTTATCTGCCACAAAGAGCAAGCTTGCTAACTGCTGCTATAAAAGTGGTGGATTCACCAAGTCCAGTGTTCCTCTTCTCTAATGCAACCCACTACATGTGAGGTGTCATGTGGGTCCATTGTGGGGCTTGGAGATAAGGGGAACTGACACAAAGATGCTGACACTCTACTGCTTGCTAATGAAGTAACGAAGTTTTTTGTCTCTGACCCAGGAGTCCTGTATTTTCTGCCTGCATCCATTAAACAGCAACAGATTAACTTATTAACTTAAAAGCAGAGTAAAATCAAATTTAACACTCTTCATTTAGCATCATCCTAGGCCTGAGAGGATTCTCATAAATTCCTTTTCAAGGTTAATAAGTAGCTTAGTCAAAACCAAAACACATAAAACACATGATTAAAAGGCACCATGAGTGAGAATCAACAGAAGCAATAGGGAGCAGGAGCAGACCTATGTACAAAGACTTCAAATACTGGAATTATCAGGCACAAATAACCAAACTATGTTTACAAGTCATTGTGTATAGTCGTTACAATTCTGTATGAAAAATGTCCTGAAGATTAGAATTAGTGAGCATTTAATAATGTTCCTGGATGTATTATCAATATATCAAAATTAATCATATCTCTATATATCAGTAGCAAACATAAAATTTTTAAAATACTATTTCAGAAGCCTAAAATATGAAATATATATGAATAAATATAACAAAAAGTGAGTAATCCTTCTATGGAGAAAATTACAAACTTTACAAGTCAAATCATTAAAGTCAATGGATATATTATTAGACAAAAAGATTAATGGTCCCTTAGAGCAGTGGTCCCCAACCTTTTTGGCTTCAGAGACTGTTTTATGGAAGACAGTTTTTCCACAGACTGGATTGGGGGTTGGGGGATAGTGAGCAATGGAGAGTGGCTGTAAATACAGATGAAGCTTTGCTCACCTCCCGCAGTGCAGCCTAGTTCCTAACAGGTCACGGACTGGTACTGGTCTGTGGCCTGGGTGTTGGGGACTGCAGCCTTAGAGGATCCAGAAATAGACTTGTGCATTCATAAGCCTAAGTACAGAACAAACAAGGCATTGCACATTAGTGGGATGAGGATCAATAAATGGTACTGGGACAGATGTCTAACCATACAGAAGAAAATATAATTGAATTCCCTTCCTCACACCTTACAGTACAAAATCTGTTCCAGAAGGATTAAAGGTACATATGTGAAAAGCAAAACTATATGACTTTAGGAAGATAATATAGGAGAGTATTTTTAGAATTTAATGGGAAGGAATGGAAGACATTTTTTAAAAGACACAAAAGCACTAACCATGAAGGAAAAGATGGATAAATTTGACTTCATTAGAAGAATGTATTTCCATCAAACACCATTAAAAGAAGAAAGATGATATATATATATATATATATATATATATGTACAGAGAGAGAGAGAGAGAGAATATTTGCTTCAAGTATAATTAAAGGACTAGTGTCCAGAATAGTCAAAGGAAAAAGACAAGTCAATAGAAAAAATAGGAAAAAGATTTGAAGTCACTTCATAGAAAAGAAACTCCAAATGGCTAATGAAAAGATAAAAAGAGTGTCAATGATATATAATCCCATCATTCATTTTTGACTGATTGTCAAAAATAAAAAGTCTTGTAATAAGTATTGGTAAGCATATGGAATAATAGGATCTCTCATCCTGCTGGTGTGAATGCAGATTGGGAAAACCTTGAAAAGCAATTTGGTATTATATAGAGAAGTTGGTGATTTGCACAGCCCACATGCTCTAGGGTATATTCCCTGGACATGCGCTTGCATTGGTCCACATGGGCGCATGCATAAGAATGTTCCTACTGCATTGGTCCTAACAGCTCTGCACTGCAAACAACCCAAATGTCCTCTAGCCATATCAAGGACACATGTACTGTAGTATATTCTTGTAGTAGAGTATGTGGCCATGAAAAGGAATGAACCACACCTACATGAAACAACATAGTTGAATCTCCTAAACATAATGTTTGCTGAAAGAAGCAAGTCAGTAATAGTATACATGCTATTATTCTGGTATAGCAAAACTAACCTATATTGCTTATATACAATAGCCTATATTGTTTAGAGTTGCTTATATAATGAAAGAGGTAAAATGGAATGAAAAGCAAGGGATTGTTTATCACCAAAATTAGGTTAATGGTTCTTCCTTGAAGGGAGCAAGAGGTTTGTATTCATAAAGAGAGGCATGAGAAACTGTTGGGAGGCTGGCAATGATCTCTTTCTTGCCTTGGGTTGTGATTTCTATGTGTTTCATTCTTTATTATTCTTCAAACTACATATATTTTATACATTCTTATGTATATATCATATATTATTTTAAAAAAGAAATGAGATCTGATCCTATCCTTAACGAGCTAAGAGTGGAGAAGATAGACTTTTAAACGGATAATTTCAATGAGGCTGGGCACAGTGGCTCATGCCTGTAACCCCAGTACTTTGGGAGGCCAAGATGGGAGGATCACTTGAGGCTAGGAGTTCAAAACCAGCCTGGGAACATAGCCAGATCTAGCCTCTACAAAAAAATTAAAAAATTAGCTAGGTGTGGTGGCATGCACCTGTAGTCCTGGCTACTCAGGTAGTTGAGGTGAGAGGATCCCTTATGCCTAGCAGTTCGAGGTTACAGTGAACTATGATCCTGCCCCACTGCAGTCCAGTCTGGGCAACTTTGTATCTAAAAAAAAAGTGATAAATGCTTTTAAAATAATGACTCACATTTATGGACAATTTACAGTGCAATATTCTAAATGTCTTGTGTGTATTATTAATATCTCATTTAATTATTTAAAGAAGTTTATGAGGTAGGCACTACTGGTCCTGTTTTTTACCAATGAGGAAAAGGAAGCATGGAAAGTGCACTTGGAAAGTAAGGAATGGAGCTGGGCTTTGAGCCCAGGCCAGTGTGCCTAATACTATGTCACACTGTCTTTTAATTTCTGCCATGAGACCCCAGGGGATGATCGGAAAAGACTTCACATTTGACATGGGTTTTAAGAGCTTAATGAAGTTGCCAGATGGAGAAAGGTTTCCAAGGGGAAGGAATAGCTTTGTGTCATGAGAGAGCCTGGCATGTTCAGGGAATTGTGGGGAGATCAATGTGGCAGATGTGTAGGATAGATAAAGGAAACAAGAGCCAAAACCATGCTTGGGATTGTTTTATTTCTAGAAAGTGTGGGAGGTGTACTGGTGTGAGGTTAGGAAGACCAGCTGGGAGGCTGTTGGGATGAATGATGTAAGAAATGGTGAAGGCTTGAGTGAAAGCAGGAAAAGTGAGGAAGAAATGATGAAGACATATTTGGGAGGCATTTTTAAATAACATAATTTGATGACCAGTATGCAGGATGGAAGGGTGTTGGAGGAGGATTGTATTAAAGTTCAGGTAATGTTGCTAGCCAATCAGGAAATACTAGGGAGAGAGCGGCTTTAGAAGAGAGGGAAATAGGTTGGGACATTTTCCAATGAGCTTGTACTATCCCTGGACTAAGGGGAAAAAAGGGAAAATGTATTCAAAATTAATACCCATTACAACAGCAATGAAAGATTGCAGCTCTGCAGGACATTAGAGTGGAGAAGAGCAACTAGGGCCAGAGGGTGAAAGAGTAGTTAATAGCACATACTTAGGAATCAGAGCCAGGGGAGTAGATGAAATCACCAGGGCAGGGTGTGCAGCAGAGGCCTTTAGGAAGTGCCAGCAGTGAGGCAGGTGGGCCAGCAGGGAAGTACAAGCAGAACTAGGAGAGAGTGATGTTCTGCAAGCCAAGGGACAACAGGGTCCTGATGAGTAGGCATGGTCAATGGCACTAGAGAGGACAGGCAGAAAAAGAGCAAGAGAGGCAATTTGCAGATCTCTGGTGACTGCAAAGTGATCTCAGAGAAGGTGGTTGCGGCTTGTCATTGTTGGCTGAGGAAATGCATAGCAGTTGAGGAAGTAGACATTCCCTTCTTATAAGTCTACCAGGGGAGGAAACGTGGGGTGGCTAAAGAAGTGATGAGGTCAAGAGAAGTTTCTTGTCTTTGGTTGGAGGAAACTTAAACTGAATGAAAGAAGTCAGAGGAGGTGGAGAGATAAAGAGAAGTGATGGGTATATTAAGGTCTCAGAGGAGGGAGGAAGAGGCATGATCCAATACAAAGAAGGCATAATGGCATTTGGAGAGAAAGAAGCATGTGTCTCCAGAGAGATGGGACAAAGGGAAGGCTGAATGCAGATGCAGGTTGTGTGGGTAAGTGGGCAGAGCAGGAAATCATGGAGCTTCTTCTTTTATGGTCTCTGCATCTCTGCAGGACATGGACACTCATCTGCCAAAGTGAACACTTGGAGGTGAAAGAGAGGGTCAAACAGCAATAGGTAAAAATAGTGTTCAGTGGCATTCAGGGCTAAGATGAGATTGGGAAACATCTTTGCATAGAGCCAGCAATCCCTACTAATGTATGTAGGAGCAGAGAAGTCTGAGGGTGTGAAGAAGATGACAGTTTCTTATTTGAATATTCTCTACCAAGAAAACCCGTTGGTTGGTACAACATTACCAACCAGACAGTATTCTTTTGCTTTAAAACTATTTGTCAGAAACATCCCTTAGGAAGAAAATATCTGCAAATCATATATCTGATGAGGGCTCAGTATCCAGACTATATAAAGAACTCTTACAACTCAACATTTAAAAAAACAAATAGACTAATTCAAAAATGGGCAAAGGATTTGGATAGATATTTCTCTAAAGAATATATGCAAATGGCCAATAAGCACTTGAAAAGATGCTCAATGTCAGTAATCATTAGGGAAATATAAATCAAAATCACAATGAGATACTACTTCACACCCACTAGGATGGCTATAATCAAAAAAACAGACAATAACAAGTGTTGGTAAGAAGGTGAAGAAATTGGAACCTTACTTAATACATTGATGGTGGGAATGAAAAAATGGGGTTTGGCAATTCTTCAAAAAGTTAAACATAGTTACCATATGACCCAGGAATTCCAGTAGCAGGTGTCAATGCAAGAGAATTGAAATCATAAGTTCACACAAAATCTTGTTCATGAATGTTCAGAGCAACATTATTTATAATAGCCAAAAAGTGGAAACAACTGAGGATGTGCATCACTTGATGAACGGATAAACAAAATGTGGTTAATCTGTATAATGCAATGTTACCCAGACAGAAAATGGGATGAAATACTGATACATGCTACAATACAGATGAACCTTGAAAACATAATGCTAAAGTAAAAGGCCACATCTTGTTTTATTCCATTCATGTGAAATGTCCAGAACAGGCAAATCTATAGAGACAGAAAGTAGATTGGTGGTTGTCCGGGGCTGGAGGGAGCCGGGCATGGGAAGTGATGGCTCCTGGATACAGAGTTTATTTTCAGGGTGATGAATATGTCCTGGAATTAGACAGTGATGATAGTTGCACAATCTTGTGAATATACTAAAAGTATATTATATACTTTAACCCTTTGCACTTGGATGTCGAGTGTGACTTGACACGGTTAGCAAAAATTATACAGATTAAAATTACTCTTTGAATGTATCAATAATTTGAAATATAAAAAAATCCAAATAAATAATTTTGTATGAAAAGAAACTCCAGTTTTTTATTCTACTGCCGCGCATTGTAAAATCTGGGATATTTAAAAAATTAAATCCCGAGTAGAATAAAGGAATTGAGAAAAAAGCAAGCGAGTGCAAAGGGTTAAAAGGTTGAATTTTATGGCATTTGAATTATATCACAATTTTAAAAGCATGTCAGTAATATTATTTGTTGTTTTAGACAAAGAAATACCTCTCTCAGTTGTGAAAATGTAGGGCAAATAAGCACCTCATTTCTAGAAGCAGAAGGTAGCAAGACCTCCGTTTCTGGAGAGGCTTAGCAAGAGCTGTCACAACCTTGCTGGACAGAGCCAGCTTGGCAGGGAAGATGATCCAATAAAGAGGCAGAGTCCTGAGAGGGAAAGGACAAATTCTTCCTCCTCTTCTCCCCAGTCCCAGGTTAGGGGGTCCTATGGGGCTGACTCAGAGTGATCATGTGTGCATATTAGTACTTAGGTAGAGGTCTCTCCTCTGAAAGGCTGGTCTCTTAAAGAAATCATGCCACTCATGATTTACCCAACATAAATAAATAACAACAATCAAATATATAAGCTATTAAAAATACAGGTAACACTTATCTTTCATGAATTGGAGTGGATGTTTAAACTGTTACAACTACCCCTTGCTTCCTCCACTGTGTGCTTCTTATTTTTCAGGCTAGGACGACGTGTTGTCCTGTGGTCCACAAGCGCTGGCATATTTTTGTTTGGAATAGCATCGGCATTTGCAAGTGATTATTACAGCTTTATGGTTGCACGCTTTTTTCTTGCCATGGTGAGTTGTGGTTTGTTTTACCTCTTTAATTCTGTTGCAGTATTTCCATGTTACGCCTTAACTCTCTTAATTTTGCTCATTTAGGATCTAGTAAGAGAAATCAGGGACTTATCTCTGTTCACTGCAGAAGTGGAATGTTAATGACTTATGTTTAGAATGGAACTCATTAAAATGAACAATCGTTGCTTACTAGGCTGAAACTTTTTGTTTGACTCTATGCCTGGCACGTGGCCCACATCTCACAATTACTAAGGCATTATTTTATTTCTGAGCAATTATATTGGTCTAGTCAGGGCCTGTACACATGAACCAAACAGAGAGTTAAGGTATATTGTTAAAGTTGTTTGCATGATGTACAGTAAGAATGAAAATAAGAAGGCATCAGGCCTTTGTGCTGTGAGGAACAGAGGAGTGTCGCAGAAGGGGCATGAGTTTGATACTAGCTTTGTTGTACAGTGGTTCGTTAGCTGTGTGACTTTGAGCAAACATGTTATCCTCTTTGAACCTTAGTTTCTCATCTGTAAACTGTAGAAAATAATCCCTGTTTCATTGGGTTGTTATCAGGATTTAGTGAGATTAAATGTAAACATCCGTGGTATTTATAGCATCTGGTGTGGAACAGGCAGGCCTCACGATGGTAACTGTCATTGTAAGTGGACAAGCCAGGAAGGACGCTGTTCCCATGCTCAGTGAGGTTTCCAGACAAGTTCCCAAACTATCAAACAACAGCAGTGGGGATTTTTGATTGGAGATCACTGATCAAGGATAATAGAGGGAAGTTTTTATCTAGGGGGAAGAGCTTGTGATGTTGCTAACTGCAGAGCAGCAGGATGGAGGATCAGAGAGAAGCCAAAGGACTTCAATCTCAAAAGAGATCGCTCGCTGCTCCACCTCAGAGAATAAGGTAGTGTGTTCAGTCCTGGTGTCTTTATTGATGGATAGAAAGGTTTCCTAGGGGGCCACCATATGGTCAAGCATAGGGAGGATGCATAAAAATAAATTTAGGAGAATTGAAGGTGTTGTACTTAAAAAAAAGTAAATACATATATTTAGGAATGTAAAGAGTTTTAAATACAAAAGATAGCAACTAGTAGTTCTGTTTCCTCTGAGGACACGGCTCTGTAACTCCAGAGTAAGATATGGTGAGAGAGACCTTCTGGTGGGACTGACGTTTCTACAGAGGCACAGGTGCCAAGAGAGTATGAGGTGTTTTGGAAGACTTAAGAGGACATTTCTGAAAAATGTTGTTTCCATCTTGCAAAATTCCATGTGTGGTTTCTAGAACCAAGAAAATGGGGCTGCATTCATAGAATACATCTGTGAAATGTGGCCTTAATTTTCTGTGACTATTTTCTTTGATTTTCATGGGAAATGAAATTTTGGCAGAATTCTGAGTGTGGGAGATGTAGGCAGATTCATTTATTCAACATATTTATTGATCTGCCTACATACAGCAAGCAGTGCTAGCAGCTAGGTAAACCAGACCCAGCTGTTTCCAAAACCCTACCATCTAGTGGAAAAGGCAAGATGCTAATTAGACATCTTCAAAACTAAATATAATGTTGAGAATGGGGGCATAGCAGTGGAGGGTTGCAGTGGGACCTGGAGGGTAAGAGGCTTTTTAGTTCTGAGGGGTGGATGAGGGAAGAACATTCCAGCAAAGGCAGCAGCAGGTGGGAGGGCTCTGAGATGAGAAAGAATTAAAGGCTGGAAAGTCTGGAGAAAGGGAAGGAGGTGTGATACATTGATGAGGCTTAAGGGGATGGGGGCCATTAGGCAAGACCTCGTAGGGTGGTCAGTATTCTGCTCTATCTCCCAAAGGTGATAGAAATCCACCAAACGGGTTCAAGTCGGGGGAAGTGGTCATTTTGGCCACTCTGTGGAGGCGAAGTTGAAAAAGATGTGAGGAATAGGGTGTTGGATATATGTGAGGATAGGGTGTTGGTGTAGCATATATTTTTGGTCTACATTTAACAATTAGGATTTAACAATAAAGACCTCCTGTGTACAGATAAATTGATATGTGCACTTACAAGGAACTGAGAAATAAATTCATGGTATAATGGAACATTTAGATGAAACAAAAGGCAATGTCTAACAGTTATAATAATTTCTCAAGTTTGTCATTTGGAGTGCAGAGGGTGGGGGAAGATGAAAAGACCCATTTAAAGAAGAAAGATGGATCAGATTGAATGCCATTTTGTGAATGTGATGTGAGTGTCAGAAAACAATTCTTTGTCATTTTCTTTTGTGCCTACATGCAATTTGCAGAGAGATCAGAGCCTCAGTAGTTTTAAATGTGATCTTAAATATGCATCCCACTTCTTTGTTTTTCAGGCTGCAAGTGGTTATCTCGTGGTGGTGTTTGTCTATGTCATGGAATTTGTCGGAATGAAGTTTCGGATGTGGGCCTCTATCCAGTTGCATTCCTTTTTTGCGATTGGAACAATGGTGGTGGCTTTAACAGGCTACTCAGTCAGGATCTGGTGGCTTTATCAGATGATCCTCTCCACAGTGACTGTCCCCTTCATCCTTTGTTGTTGGATGCTCCCAGAGACACCTTTTTGGCTTCTCTCAGGGGGAAAATACAAAGAAGCACAACAAATAGTTGATATGATGGCCGAGTGGAATGGAAAGAGCTCCTGTAAACTGTCAGAACTTTTTTCACTCGATCTAACAGAGCCTGTTGGTGATAGTAGTCCCCCTAGAATTAAGATGAACAGCATATATTATCTGTTTTATGACTGTAATGTTGCAACAAGGACGCTTATTGTTTGGATGATTTGGTTCACAGGGAGTTTGGGATTCTACTCCCTGTCCTTGAATTCTCTTAATTTAGGAGGCAATGAATACTTAAACCTCTTCCTCCTGGGTAAGTAGTTAAAATATATTTAAATGTGGCAATTAAGTGAGATATCTACCATGTTTTTAGTTTGTTTTTAATAGTCTTTTTCTATCAGAAACAATATTGCCAACCATGTTATTACGATATCTTTTGGTGTTATTATACTATAACACTGGCACATATGAGGGGACTTCAAAAAGTTCATGGAAAAATTGAGTTAAAGATAAAAATAAAAACTGTAAATGTTATCCTCAACATAAGCTTCATTAAGTTCAAGACATTTTTATAAGTGATGATACCAGCCATTTACTCCATCCTAAAGAACTGAGGGTCTTGGGAATTTAACCATGTCAATGCAGTCATTTTTACTTTATTAACTGAAGAAAAATAGGTGCCCTTTACAAATTTTGTGAGACTAAGAAATAGCAGGAGCTAAATAAGGATTATAAGGTGGGTGCCTAATGACTTCCCACCAAAACACTCTCAAAATTGCCCTTGTTTGATGAGTGAAATGAGCAGGATCATCATCATGGTGGAGAAGGATTCTCTGGTGAAGCTTTCCAGGTGTTTTTCTGCTAAAGCTTTGGCTAACTCTCTCGAAACACTCTCGTGATAAGCAGATGTTATTGTTCTTTGGCCCTCCAGAAAGTCAATAAGCAAGATGCCTTGAGCATCCCCCAAAATTGTTGCCATGACCTTTGCTCTTGACCAGTGCACTTTGGCTTTGCCTGGACCACTTCCACCTCTTGGTGGCCATTGCTTTGACTGTGCTTTGTCCTCAGGATCTCACTGGTAAAGCCATGTTTTATCTCCTGTTGTAATTCCTTCAAGAAATGCTTCAGGATCTTGATCTCACTTGTTTAAAATTTCCATCAAAAGCTCTGCCCTTGTCTGCAGCTGATCCGCATGTAATGGTTTTGGCACCCATCAAGTGGGAAGTTTGCTTGACTTTAATTTTTCAGTCAGAATTGTGTAAGCTGGACCAATTGAGATGTCTGTGGTGTTGGCTACTGTTTCTGCTGTTAATTGTCCGTCTTCTTCAATTAGGACTCAAACAAGATGAATTATTTCCTCATAAATTGATGTGGATGGTCTACTGTTACAGGCGTCATCTTCAACATCATCTCTTCCCATCTTAAAATGAGTTATCCATTTGTAAATTGCTGATTTCTTTGGGGCACTATCCTCATAAACTTTCCATAAAGTATCAGTGATTTCACCAGTTTCACCACTCTTCTACCCCAGCTTCACCATAAATTTGATGTTTGTTCTTGCTTCAATTTTAGCCAAATTTATGTCCCTCTGATAGAGGCTCTTTTCAAACTGATGTCTTATCATTCTTAGTGCCTCAAACTAGATCCTGTTCAGACTTGTTGTAACAAGTTAGTATGAGTTCATTTTGGTACAAAACATTTTTGAAATCCATGCACAGGTTTTTCATAATTACCCACTTCCCATGATCTTTTTGAGAAAATACAGTCAGAAGAATTTGTCCTCCCCCTTCTTTTTTGCCACCTCTCCTTGCTTGCTTCCTTCCTTCCCACCCATCTCCATCCTAGAACTCTTCCCAGAGGTAACTTCTATAATGTTTGGCTTGTACCTTTTCACATCTCTTTCTATACATTTCCATATATTTGTGCATATAAATGCTTTATATTTTAACATAGGTTATTCACTACATGTTATTTGTAAGTTCCTTTAATTTTAAAATTTAATATGTCTTGGAGATCTGGTATCTTTGGGATCTTTCTACTTTCAAGTGTCCTTAATTTAGAGATTTTAGTTGGTAAAATAACTTTTAAATACATGCAACTATAATTTATGTTGTCATGCTTCTTTCATTTAAATAGCAGGTTACAATGGCTTTGGATAGCTTGAGACATGACTTCTAGCATAAACCAAATTTGAACTCAACATGAGAAAAATATTAGGAATCAGTATTTATCTATCTAATCTCAATTCCTGGTTATTTCTGTGTAGGCTGCCTGTGTTTTATATCATTCCTAGAACATCTTGCTTTTAAGAATTCTCATTAAAGTTTTCTGAGGATATCATCTGTGTTTGTTATAGCTCAGCAGGAATTATGAGAGAAGTCATTTGAAGAAAAAAATTTTCACTCTGTTTTTGGGCAAACTAACAAGTTTGTAGGAAGAGCCCATCTTGACTTCAAACCCATTCTCCATGTCAATGTGAGAAATGATGTAGTGTTCCTAGGATAGAGCAATTAGTGGTAGGAGGGTCAGGTGGGGTAGAGTACACACAGGGAAGCTTAGAAAAGCTGGAGTTTTAGATCTTCATGATATAGTTTCTTAGTTTTCCTGGATCTGTAAATTCTCAAGAAACTGGGCAATCTCATACCTACAGAGATGTTTCCAAAGACAAACATATATGGTTTTATATTATCTACTGTTTGGATTTTTCATGTCATGACTCTTCTTCCTATTAGTTCTCTTACTGACAGATGCAAGGAGATAGCAGGTCAGTAGTTCTTTGCTGTGAAATTTGTGAACAAGTTTTCATCTCCTGAGATGGTTTGGGGCTGGTGGGAATTTCAGCTCTGGTTTTGCAGGTGTGAGACAGATTATGGGCATGAGAGTATCTCATGGGAAACACTCATCCTTGCTCCAGTGGGTGGTAGGGTTTGCTGCCTCTTGGGCAGTGCTCAGATAGTTTCTAAAGGCCCCTGTAAGTGAGGAGAGGGCTGCCTGTTCCTTTTAGGTGTTGAGTTAGAAGGTGGGGTTTCTTGTGCTGTGGGGCGCACGGCTTTATAGAGGGCCTTTTGTTCAATGACAGGTGCAGTGGAAATTCCTGCCTATATCTTTGTGTGCATCGGGATGAACAGGGTGGGGAGAAAAGCAGTTCTGGCCTTCTCCCTTTTCTTCAGCGCACTGTCCTGTGGGGTGATTATGGTGATCCCCCAGGTGAGTTATTTCATGTTTTATTTAGGGAACAGTTAGTAATACGATGACAGTTTGATGGGAAGAATTTTAGCTTATTACAATTAAGTATGACGATCAATTCAGACACAGAGTATATATTGGACAGAGTATATGTTAATACATAATATTTTAAAATGTTTAAACATTCTTTCTCTGTTATATAAATAATATAACTTTGTTGTAGAAAATTTAAGGAAAAAAGGAAATGTTTTAAAAAGTACATAATCTCACTTCCCAGAGATGCTCAGTGTTGTATTTTGTAAACACAGTAATCTTGTGTGAAGAAAGTTGATCACAGCTTCCAGTAATTATCCTCATATTAATATCCACTCATTCATTTATTCATTCAACAAAGATTTATCCAGCATCTGTTATGTGCTGGGTGCTGGGGACATGCAGTGAGTCAAGTTTCTGTAAGTGTAATGAAGAAAAATGAAACAGGGAGAAGGATAGAGATAGATTTTGTGTGTGCGTGTAAATTAGAGAGAAAGAGAAGGCATGCATGGGTATGATTTTGTCTAGAGTGGTCGATGATTATGTGCCTGTCAGAGAAGGTAACGTGAATAGAAACTGAATGGGGGAGGAAGCCATGGAGACAGCTGAAGGCTATAATGAGCCAAATATTCAGGGTTGTTCCAATTTAAATACTCTTGTTTTTCATCGCAGTAGATTAGTAGTTTCCAATTTTTAGTATGCACAAACCCCAAGGAGCTTGTTTTTAAAAACACAGTTTCCTAGTGAGAAACACTGCCATAAACTACTGAAATGACTTTCACATTCCTGTGTCTTAGCAAACTATGTCCCCTAGAATACCTCTTGCATCCAGAAGTGCTTCTCCTCTTACCCCAAAAGATGTTATCAGAACTTGTGTTTGAATTCTTGGTTTGGAAAACACCACTATAATAATACTTTAAAATATTCTATATAATTTTCTCCAGTGATTATATAATTATTAAGCAGTAGTATATCAATATTTAGAGCAAAGCATTTTAAGTTTTGCATATTGCTTGAAATTTAATTTAAGCTGACAAGTGACTTCCTTTATAGTCTTTACTTAATTATAAGGGTTGGTAAGCCAAATGTTTTATGTAACTGAACTTTCCAGGTGATTGATACACAACTAATTGAACACAATAAAACTACTCAGGACAAGGAGGTCTCTGCTAATTTGAGGGAACTTTATCCATACCTTTTAAAAAGTATTAATAGTTTAATACTTTGCAGTTATACTAGTTGAGTTGATGGCAACTGCCTTTGAGCTGGTGAAGATTTAGGGGAACCCTAGAACCTTTCAGTTCTACAGTAATGGGGAAGACAGGAAAGTGGCTGATGAAAATTTCTAGAAATAGAGCACTAACCCACAACCACAAATCACTCCCCTATAATAAATTTTTTCCCCAAATGGTAATATCAACACATACAAATGATTTTAAACATACAATTTTTTAAAAAAAATAATGCTAATTTATTTAACAAATATTGTCTACAATATAATTAAGGTGACATTAGCTACTATACTAGAGACATCCCCAAGTCGCTATGGCTTAACATAATAGACATTCATTTCTTGTTCATAGAAAGTTCCGTGTGGGTGTCCCTGGTTGGCTGCAGTGCTGGTGGTGGGGGGTGTTTGGCTGGCTCCATGGAGTCATTCAGGGATGCAGGCTAAAACAGGCACTGCTATACTTAACACATGAACTCCAAGGTCACCCTAACAGATGGGAGAGGAGAGCAAAGATTTGGAATATGGAAGGACTTTGTTAGCCACTGCTGGAAGTGGAACACATTAGGAATAGCATAAACCCAGGAGAAGATACTGACAGGTTTTGCTGTTGAGGAGTGTATCTGCCAGAGAGAGAGAGAGAGAGAGAGAGAGAGAGAGAGAGAGAGAGAGAGAGAGAGAGAGAGAAAGAGAATTTGTACTAATAGTTCAGTTATCACTTTCAAATTATTTGCTGAAGATCATTTATAAACCAGGGATTATTGCCACAAAGGGCACAGTTTGTTTTTATGGCCCCTTGAGTCATTCTGCTGGATTCATTCCAGAAGGAGTAGGTCCTTTATTGGTGCAACCAGCACTGTTTGGGCATGTCTCATTCCAAAGCAGTCTTACCAACTGGCTTTCTTGCACAGTTCAAATCCTCCAAAGTTGGGATGGGGGCTGAGGCAAAATAAAACTTTCTTCTAAATTTCATAAAGATGGAAAGTTTTTGCAGATCATGAGTAGAGTTTACAAAATAAATTCAAACAGAAAAGGAAAGTTCTTCATTGGTCTGAAAAATATTGAAGGAATTAGAAAGTTTTTAAGTGATAATTTTAAAGATCTTATATCTTCCTTTTAAAAAAGTTACTTATGATGTCTATTTTGCTAAATATTTTTCAGAGTTTTCAGATGCGGCGTGTGGTGGCAACTATGGCTGCAAAATTTGCCATAGGGGCAGTGTTTGGCATTATTTATCTTTATACAGCTGAGCTGTACCCAACCATTGTAAGGTAAGGATTACTTATTTTTTCTGTTGTTTTCCTGTTATTTTTCACTTGTGTATCATTTCATTATATTTATAATACATATAAATGCTTTCTTTTCATAGAAGTTACCTGGAACTCTGAGATAAGGGAAAATTACATTTTCTAAAATTCTGAATCTGAGGCTTTGTCTATCACCTTATTAGCAAGGATATTAGAGAAATTATATTGAAATAACACTATCACTCTAAAATGATTTTAAATTTCAAATGAAATTAGTATGGCTCATAGCTAATTTCACCAATTTGGAAGCTAAAATTTAAGAGAAAAATTTATAATTCACTTAAAATTTTTAAGAGGTTATTAAGTAAGTATGGTCATGTTGCTTAATGACAGGGGTACGCTCTAAGAAATGTATCCTTAGGTGATTTCGTCATTGTGCAAATATCATAGAGTCTACTTGCACAAACTGAGATGGTAAAGCCTACCACATACCTAAGTTATCTGATCTGGCGGCCTATTGCTCCTGGGCTACAAACCTGAACAGTGTGTGATTGTCCCAAATGCTGTAGGCAATTTAACACAGTGGTAAGTATCTGTGTATCTAAACATCTCTACACATGGAAAAGGTACAGTACAGAAAAAAATACAGTGTTACAATCTTATGCGACCACGGTCCTGTGTGTGTCCGTTGTTGACCTCAACGTGGTTAGGCAGCGAAAGGGCTGTATTTGCTCCTGTTCCCGGAGGGTGGCGAGGGGCCGCAGCAGGCAGTTCTCACTCTCTGCGTCCTCGGTGCTTGGCTTGTTCGGGCTCTAGCTGCTGTCCTAACCCCCTCGTGTTTCCAGGTCTCTGGCCGTGGGGAGTGGCAGCATGGTGTGCCGCCTGGCAAGCATCTTGGCCCCGTTCTTCGTCTACCTCAGCAGCCAGTGGATCTTCCTACCGCAGGTGTGCCTCAGTTTACAGGCCCTAACGGGGACAGCAGAGAGACGCAGAGGCCAACTGCCTTTTCCATGTTTACTTATTGGAAGCCAGTTTATAATTTCATAATGGGGGTGGGTGTAGCAACACGATGAACAGCTCGCCTGCCGGTAAGTAGGCGGGTGGTTGCTGCTTTATTGTCGGTTGATTGCCTTCCACCCCAGCCCAGCTGTCAGTCCAACCCGCCTGTCAGGAAAGAGCCTGTCCTCACCCTTGTCAAGAATCCATGACCCCAGGAAGGCAGAGCTCTGGTCTCTGTCCCTCTTGGAGCCTCTGCGCCCACTCTCTGTGTTCCCACTGTGTGCCTGCCAGGCCAGGAGGATTCTGGAAGCTCCTGTTCCCCTGAAGGGTCTGTGGTGCCTGATCTGTGGTTCTCAGCACACCTGAGCCTGAGGGGCCACCCGTGGGCGGGGCTTCCCTTCTGGGGCCTCTGGCTCAGCAGTGTGGGCCGCTGGCCTGGTGCTGAAGAGTGAGAGCAGTTGTGCTCAGGTGACAGAGTGCCGCCTGCAGGGGCTGAGAGGCTGGGAAGGCAGGCAGAGCACTGATACACCTGGCTTTAACGTGACCCTCTGCTCAGGAGGAGGATGGGCCAGGCGGGCCCTGGGGAGGGGAGGCATGGTGGTGCATAGCACTGCCATCCCAGCAGGGACCTGGGGGCCCACCCTCCTCCCCCAAGCTTCCCCTGAGTTTCTTTGCTATTGCTGCCTCTGGGTCTCTTTCAGTGCTTCCTCTTCCTTTTCTGGTTGCCCTTTAAATAGACTCATTCTCCAAGATTCCCTCCTGGCTGTCCTCCCCTCTCTCTGCTTGTGTGACCTGTCCTGAGTTCCCACCTCTTCTCCCAGCTGCAGCCCCTGCTTCTGCTAGCCTTGTGGATATTCTCCCTAGATGTGTTACAACAAACTTGACATTTCCCCAGGAGGACTGGTCGGTGACTTCACTGTCTCCCACTGTTGGTTACCGATAAGTCAATGGCCTAAAGCGTGACACTGCAGCACCAACTTTTTATTCACACTGTTCTTTCCTGCTCTTCTCCCAATCTGCTAGTCATCAAATCCTCACATTTTCCCTCAAAACTACCCCTGCTTGCCTGCTTCCAGTGCCCAGTTCAATTCCTCGTCACTTCCCAGGTCTTCTCTTTGTACCCCATCCCCCCACCCCATCAGAAGAGCATAGAAGGCACCACAGCCATGGCCCAGGACCCCTGTCACCTTAAGAATAAAATCCAAGCTCAGCTGATACCCAGTGCCTTTCCAGACCCACTGTCTGTGGATCTTCCCTGTTGTTCTGTTTCCCCACACAGCTTCCCCTCCTCTCCACACTCACCCGCCATCCAAGTCCTGCCCGCCTCCTCCCTGTCCTCACCCCTACTCCCTCCCCTTCCATGCCTCTGCCTAACAGCCTCTCCAAAGAGAATGATCCTCCCTGTCACACCCCAACCCCACTGATCCATCACGTGTCCTTTAAGTGTCCTTCCAAATATCCCCCTTCCCAGGCCACCCAGATCCAATGACCCCACTGGTTCACAGCACAATCTGGCTTTATCGTGTGCATGTGTGGCTTTGTCTCCCAGGCTAGACTGTTGAGCTCTTGCAGAGCAGGGCATTTTGCATCCCCACAACTGGGTCCAGCAAAGCATTTTCCTCACTTTGTGTGCCACCCATGCTGTAATTTGCTTCGTGTTTTAAATCAAATAGATTGGATTTTTGAAGTTAGCTTTGTCTTAAACAATAGTATCAGTGAAATCATGGGTGTTGGGGTAGTTACATGTTTTTCTAAAATACACTAACATAATCTGACAAGTAATAAAACAAAGTGTTTGGTACCACCTGGAGCCACTTTGTGCACACAAGTGGTGTGGACGCTGCTCTTTGGGAATCCTTGGCTTAGCACGAGTGTCTCCCATGTCCCAGTAGCAGGGCTCAGCAAAGTCTGCTTCACTGGGGTGTTAGGGTCCCATCCTCTTTCACAGGCTGACTCTGAGGTTGAAAAGTAACATAGGCTGTCTGGCCTGCATAGGGAGGTGATTTGGGAGATTCTCCCACCCTATTTAGGGCATTGGACTTTTCTAGAAGCATCTTTTTTTGTGCTAGAATTTTGTGTTCCTTGTTAAAAAAAAGATAAAAATGGAAAGCTGTTTTTTAGAACAATAAGTTAAAACACACAAAAAGAAAATATATATGTAAAAGCAAACTTCTTTAAATTGACTAAAACCAAATGAAAAAATTTTTTTAAATAAGTATCTCTGTAAGGGTCAATTAAAGACTATGAAGTTAAAAGGGGTCTTTATTTTGATTAACAGATCCTTAACAGGTCCTGTTAAGTGCTTTACAAAAATTAGCCTTCATTTAATGCAGATACCATTGTTACCCCCATCTTACAGAGGAGGAGACTGCTGTATGGAAGGTAATTATTAGCCCATGCACACACCTTAAAGGTGACGGAACTGGGGTTCGAACCCAAATAACATGCTCCACTACCTTTTACTTAAGGTTAGCAAGCAAACAAACGGTATAGAGGGATATAGAACCAGCTCCTCCTCCACCCTGATGCTGAAGGTCCCAGGCCCCTTCCTCAAGACAACCCCTGGCAGCAGGGTCTAGTGTATCTTTTCAGAAATATTCTGTGAAGGTGCTTCCTTTGGATGCAACAGAAGTTGCCTATTGTTTCTAATGACTAAAAAAAGAAATAAATGATTAAATTTCCCATTATTCTTGATTATGAATGTCAAACTGCCTGGGAAGCCAGTGTTTTCATTTTGAAGAATGGAAACATTGGTCGAGAAGATAAGTTTATATTTTCTCTTTTGAAAAGAGGCACATGAAAACCACTCGTTATGCTGTTATTATCAACAGTTATTTTCTAGTAATCTAAAAAAGGTGGACATAATTCTTTTGTGTGTGTGTTCATAAACTCATTTGGCAAAGGTGTATTGACTGTTGATGTTGCACTGAGCAGCCTGCGAGGTGCTGGGGAGCAAAGATGAAGGAAACAGCCTCTGTCTGTCCGGTCTGGCGGGGAAGGCGGGAGAGCAAACCGTCACCAGACCTGGAGCAAAAGGCTGGAGAGAGGAAGTGCTAGGGCTGTGGGGCTCTAGGAGAGGGCTGCCAACCCAGCCCGGTCCCAGGGAGGCATCTGTGTGTGGAGGGACCAGTAAGGGTCAGCTGGGTGAGGGAGGAGAGAAGGGAATGTCAGGCAGAGGGAACAGAAAAGCAAAGGCTCAGAGGGGAAAAGGAAGGAGCGTGGCCACTTTGGGTTTGGACACAGGCATTATTGCTCACACCGGAGTGGCTTGTGGGGAGTCAGGAGATACATCTGGAAAGAGAGGCAAAGATCTTAAAGGAAGCCAGGACAGAAGAACATTCAAGCTAAAGGCAGGTTGGAGAGGACAGAAGGGAAAAGTCATAGTGACAGGACCTGGTGACCAGATGGCTATAGTGGAGAGTGGGGAGTCGCTCTGGAAGCTGGAGGGATCCCAGGAAGGCAAACAAGCCTGTGGTGGGGCAGGGCAGCACACTAAATATCATGTGAGGTGCTTGCAAGATGGCCGGTGTGGGGGGGGGTGCGTCTGGGAAGTGGAGGGGTTCACAGGCCTGGAGCTCAGGGAACAGCCCTGGCTAGAGATGAAAGTTTGAAGAGAAACCCTGGGAGCATTTAAGGTGTAGTAGAAGGAGGGGTCCATGGTGGGGACAGAGGAGCAGCCAGGGTGGTGGGTGACCTGCACTCCAAAAGAGCAGAGAGGGGAGGGAGGCGGGAAAGGACAGTGGCCAGGAAAGAGCAGGACAGGAAAAGTCCCTGGGGTTGCACATTGAGGGACCCCTGGCTTAGGCAGAGCAGTTTCTGTAAGGGTGGGGGTGGGACAGGCTGCAGAGAGTCAGGCGCAGGGGAAGCCAGAGAGCTGGGGAGAGCATGGGCCGGAAGGTGGAAGCAGATGTGGCCTGAGGTATGCATCTTGTTAAAAGCTATAACAGCAATAATGATGGAACATTAAAAAAATCTTGTTTTTCTAGACATAATAGCAGCAACAATAGCTAACATTTACTGGTTGCTTCCCGTGGACAAGGCACTTTTCTAAGTGCCTTAAATATATTATTTAATCTCATCCTCTCTACAGTCCTTTGAGGCAGGTACTATTCTTATATCCATTTTACTTACAGATAAGGAAACTGAAGAGCAGAGAGGTTAAGTAATTTGTCCAAGATCACACAGGTAGCAAGTGGCAAATACCCAGGCACCGTGGGTATGGAGATTATAAAAGGCTCTAGAACTTTCCTTTTTCCTCAGGGAAAATAGCCAGCAGAAAGAAAAACATCAAAAGTTTGTGAGGAGGGAGGACTATATTGCTGGAGACCTGTAAGGAGGAGGTGAGGGGTGAGGGGGTCTGGAGAGCCTGAGAGGAGCCCCTGGCCAGGAGAAGGAGAGGTGGAGGCTTGTTGGGATGTTTGGTTTGGGGTTTGTGGGGATGGAGGGAGCAGCCCAGGGCAGCAGAAGTGAGGAGGAGATGGGGAGTTTGTTTTACTATTCTTACTCCTAAGCTGAGAAGAAAAATTCAGTCCTGTCTTGGATTTTCCATTTGATTCTATTTTATTTTTAGACTTATCCAGTGTTTTTCAGACCCTGACGTAGGGCTCTTCTGGGGTTTCCAGATTAGTGGATCTACTTGCTATGTCTTGAGACACCAGAAAACACCTTTAAAAATCCTTTGGAATGTCACTTTAAATTCTGCTAACACTTCTAGGTTGAGCTTACTCATATATTTCTAAGAATTAGGTTATCAGTGCTCTGCAAAACAAAATAAAAAACTGCTTTCCCAGGTCTCATCTGTTATGGATGTGGTCTCACATCACTTCACAATTGCACTATGTTTTTTATGATTCTCATTCTCAGAGGCTGTAAATGTACCAAGTATGTGGATTTATTGAAAAACCATGCCTTAATTTATTTTTATGGGGTCTTTCCAGCAAGTATTTTTTTTGCTAAAAGAGTTTAAATTATGTAAGGATGGATTGTATTTTGACAGATTGTCTAGAGATTTAGTTCTAAAAATCACCCAACGTCTTCATAATGATCAACAGAGAATAGCTATGCAGACTTTAATTTTTAATGTGACTTGTGTTTTTGAAAGCAAACACCTTGGTGCTAGTCTTAAAGTTTGCCTTTTTTGTGTCAAAATCTGGAAAGTAAAGAAGCCATACAGAATTTTATAGGAAATCAAATAGACTCTCCCTCAGCCTCCAAAGTACCAATTAGTTTTCATTGCCTTTGTTTTGTCCCTAAATTCTGTAGGTTCCGGTTTATCAAGGCATATATTCATTTATTCATTCGTTCATTCCCCATCATTTACTGCAAGCGGTTAGTGCACTGACTATTGGCACAGACAGGGTTGACTGAGGCAGCCCCTGATTGGGAAGTACCAACTCAGGCCTCAGTTGCTTGACTCCTCCGGGAGGTTCGGGGATCTGGAAAGTGGGTCAGGGTGTTTGTTCTCTGTGACCACCGCTCTTAGGACAGTAGCTACAGGAATAACAATGCAGATAGAAGCTGGCAGTGGAGGAGGCGCTCCACCATGGGTCATGAATGAGTGAATTAATGAATGATCAGATTAAGCTTAGTTGATGAGTTAAATAATTCCTAGTCCAGCATAAGTAACCAAAGATCTCACCAAGGAATAACAACTATTAGGTCAAATTCAATTCTATTACCCTCTGAAAAAGGTCTAGAAATTATTATTGTCTGAAGGGTACATTTCTTTCCTGATGTGTCACTTATCATCATCATTCTTATTATTTTTAATTCCTTCTAGTTATTAGTTGGGATTACATCCTTTATAAGTGGAGTGCTAGCACTACATCTTCCAGAAACTCGCGGGAAGCCGCTGGTAATGACTTGGGAGGAGGCTGCAAAACTGGAGTCAGAAAATGATGAAAGTTCAAGTAAATTACCTTCCACAACTAGTAATATTGCGTTGTAAAAAACAGAAGAGATTAACCCCAGGGATTCTAGTCCTGGTGAATAAATGTGCCATATGTGCTGTCTAGCACCTGAGATACTGTTTATGTTAATGCCTTTGTATTATAGGAGTCTTATTCTCATTTCCTGCATGTTGTTTATGTGTCTTTTAAAAAAAATTTGTAAGAAAGTTTTGAAACAATTGTTTTGTAAAAGTAAAAGAAATTAAAAAACCAAGATGAGAATTCTCATTTTTTAAAAACTGCTTTCCTATCGCTGTAAAGTATTGTTTCAACATTTGTTTTTCTATGTCATTGATTCTCAACCTTCTCCCCCCTCCAACGCCACCACGCAGGCCTGAGGGATTACTCGTGTTCCCATCAGTACCAAGGCTGCCCCTCCCTCTTTCTCCAGGTGTGTCACCTGGGAATGCGCCGTGTGAGAGTGGGTTTCTTTTTGACAAAGCCCCTTGAAGATTCCATTTCTGATATTCTTTCCCCTCTTCTGAGAATCATAGCTCTAAATACAAGTCTTACTCAGAAATGCTCTGTTAAAAATGTTTGTCTTCATAACTGAACCATAAAAAACTAGAGCTACAAAAAAGATGTCTTGCTTTTCAGCCAGCTTGAGCCAAGAAGTCTTTGAATGTGCAGACAAATGTGCTTGTGTTTGGTCTGGTTAAGGGACACACACCTGCCAGGCTCCAAGAGTGAGTTTTCTAGTCTGATATTCTATTTACCAAATCCTCTCTATAAGTCTCCCTCATAGTACAGAGAAACTGTGGCATTTTGGTGCACTAAAAACTTTTCCAGTTTGTAGATCATCTAGGAAACTGACTTGAAGTGCCATCTGGATCTGTTGCCAATGTCAAAAATTTTGCAAGTATTCTTTCCTCTTTAAAAGTAATTTACCTGATGATTTTTACTCTTTTTTTTACTAAATTTTGTTTCCCCAACTTCACTTAAAACCATAGTCTTGGCTTGTACCCATAATGCTAGCACTCTGGGAGGCTGAGGCGCAAGGATTGCTTGAGGTCAGGAGTTCAAGACCAGCGTGAGCAAGAGCAAGACCCCGTCTCTACCAAAAAACAAAAACAAAACAAAATAAAAAAAACCATAGTCTTTCAAAAATAGTTTAATATCCTGGACATTTCAGCTGCAAATTGTGTCATAGTCTTATCTGTTAGAAGAATGCATTTCAGATTTACAGTAAGTTTCCCAGAGGTTTTGGTTTTTTTCTTACTATGGTTAAATCATAAGTTCATTCTTTTTTCTTTGCTCTTGAAATTTTGCTGTTGGATGTGTCTTACGTCCAGTGCATTAAATTGATGAAGTATTGGTGTTATCCGCAGAGGCAAGTAAAAGAAGACAATTATATAGATGTAAGTTAAACAAACAAAAAAAAAGCATTGCTAAGGGAAAAAGGAGGGATTTGACCTGAATTATAGACTTTTTATATTAAGTCAGCTCTCTGGGTAATTGCTCAGTTCTTCATGTGGACTTTCCACTTGTAAAAATAAATAAATAAATAATAAACAATTAAATAAATAAATAAAAATAAAACCAAAAACTTTCTCCCTTTATGAAAGAAAACAAAACAAACAGATGTGAGAAGAAAGGAGGAAGACGTTTCTTTAGCCTTTCTCTTATCTCTTATTTTGTCTCCTGTTTATTTTACCCCAGCCTGTTTTTCTACTGTCATTTAAATTTTTCCTGTTAGCTAATATTTGATATTTTCTTGACTTTATTTTTATATTCTGTATTAGTTTGCTGGGGCTATCATTGCAAAATACCACCAATTGGGCGGCCTCAACAACAGAAGATTATTTTCTCATCGTTCTGGAGGCTGAAAGTCCAAGATCAAGGTGCCAGCAGGGTTGGCTTCCTCTGAGGCCTCTCCTTGGCTTGCAGCTGGCCACCCTCCTGCTGCCTCTTCCCGTAGCTGTCCCTCTGTGCGTGGACACTTCTGGTGTCTCTCCCTTTTCTTGTAAGGACACCAGTCATATTGGATTAGGGCCACATACTAACAGCCTCACTTTAATCACCTCTTTAAAGACCTCATCTCCAAATATATTACATTCTAGGCATTGGAATTTCAACACACGAATTTGGGGGCATTTCTTTACATTTTTATTGCCCATTGTCTTAGTCAGTGTGGGCTGCCATACAACATACCATAAACGGTTGGCTTAAATAACAGAAATTTATTTCTCACAGTTTTAGAGGCCAAAAAGCCCAATGTCAAGGTGCTGGCAAGGTAGGTTTCATTCTGGGGCCTCTTCTCTTGGCTTGTAGGTGGCCACCATCTCACTGTGGGCTTGCATGGCCTTCCCTTGTGCATATGCGGAGAGCAAGCTCTGTGAAGTCTCTTGTTATAAGGGCGCTAATCCCATCATGAGGGCCCCACTCCCATGACTCCATCTAACCCTAATTATCTTCCAAAAGGCCCCATCTCCAATTACCTTTTCATTGAGGGTAAGGGCTTCAACATATGAAGTTTTGGGGGACTCAAACATTCAGACCACAACATCCATGTATGTATCTCTGTATCAGTCAATTTCCAGTCAGAAAAACAGAAATCATCCAAAATATTTCAAACAGAGAGGAATTTAATGCAAGAATTAGTCACAAAAGTGTAGAAAGGACTGGTGGAACAAAATAGAGAAGGAGAAGTTACGTGGAGATCAGGAAGCTGCCACCATGGCTAGGTTGGGAGCTGACAGACATGCACTTTCTGTATGTACTGCTCACACTGAAACATCTGTTGCTGACCAGAAACCCAGGAGCCTACATTCCCACTGATGCTACTGCAACTGCCTGTTATGCTTTCAATTTGAATTGAGTTAAATTTTTAGATTAATTTAGGGCCAAGTTACTCTTCTCTAGTACTGACTTTTTTTATCCACTGTCATGGGTTATCTCTCCATTTACTTGGTCATCTTTAATATCTTTCAATGAAATATAATTTTCTCCATAAACGTCAGGCACATTTTTTGTTATATTTATTCCTAGTTATAAATGTCCATCACAATTAGAAATGCTAAGTTTCTAATAATTATATTTTCCAACTGCATATTGCCGGGATATAAGAGAATATGATTAATTTTTATATGTTGATCTTATATCCAGAAACATTGATAAAAGTGTTTTTAATTCAAAAGGATAAAAATATTTTCTTTATTGGGAGGAAAACTAGGCTTTTCATTCTGACAATTTTCAAAGATTCATCATACAGGAAGCTGAACATCCCTTGTTCCTTCAGGATTTCTTAATATGTGAAGCCTTCTGATTTTATACTTGGAAAATAGTGATGATATATATATCTCTCTAATAGTTGGAATCTAGTCATAGCACATCATAGCTGACTCTGATTGTGAATATTTCAAGGAGTACTTTACCACAGCCTTGGAAAGGTCAGAGAACAAGCCACATACAAGTAGGTAAGTTTCAGGCGGGTGCCCTTGTTACTTGGTTTTATTTAACTGAGTTCCCTGCATTAACTTGACTTTGACAGGCAGTGAAGCAGGAGAGGCAGTGGAAGCCTGTGAATTAAAAAGCCTGGCTAAAATTCCTCCTGCTTGAGCAAATCAACTTTCTTCAATTCAATCTTCTCATTTGGAAATTCAGGGGCATAATAATGTATGGGGCATAATGTCCCTTTTGGGAATGTGGAGATTAAATGAAATAATATATCTACATCATTTAATGCCACCCTGCGCAGGCATGATATTTTACAATGCTATTTCTCCATTCATTCTCTGTGTACTTACTATTCTACCACCTGTTAGGTGTCCTGTCCAGTCTTGGTCTTGGCCAGTGGGCGTTTGGGACCCATCTGTCAGTGCTCCATTATGCTGTTGCTGTCCTGAGTTGACTGTTCCCTACGACGTACTGCTGTCCTCCCGTGTGGACTCTGCAATTTCGTCATCTGTGGGTAAGCGCCATGTTTCTTGTGACTGGCAGTTAGTTTTGGTCCATGATAGTGGCAGGAAAGGCTAACTCTGACGCCAACGAGGCGTAAACGTCAGGCCCCTTCACTTGCACTGGCTCTTGTGAGGGACTTGTAATGGGTTCACTTGGTCATAAGATTCTGTAAAATTTTGCATTGAATAAATTTTACAAAATTAAAATATTCACTATGATCAGTTAAGTGTCTTTTTCCACTCTTTTTCCTTCTATCAATTTCCTCCTCTGTCAGATGGCATCAGAGTGGTCATGGGCATGTTTTTCTTTCATGATTTGGTATGTATTTTTTACTATAAAGAGGGCTTTTGAAACTGTATCAACTTCAGACCCCACAAAAGCTGAATCTCCCCCTAAATCACCTTTAAAAAGTGTGTTGTTGGGTAAGTTCATACTCAAAATATGCTCTGAATGTATTCAACCACGTGCTCAGTTCTGCTGGTCCCCTTTCAAATGCTTATTTATTTATTTATTTATTTATTTATTTATTTATTTATTTTTTGAGACAGAGTCTCACTTTGTTGCCCAGGCTAGAGTGAGTGCTGTGGCATCAGCCTAGCTCACAGCAACCTCAAACTCCTGGGCTCAAGCCATCCTGCTGCCTCAGCCTCTGGAGTAGCTGGGACTACAGGCATGCGCCACCATGCCCGACTAATTTTTTCTATATATATGTTAGTTGGCCAATTAATTTTTTTCTATTTATAGTAGAGATGGGGTCTCGCTCTTGCTCAGGTTGGTTTTGAACTCCTGAACTCAAATGATCCACCCGCCTTGGCCTTCCAGAGAGCTAGGATTACAGGCGTGAGCCACCAAGCCCAGCCTCAAATATTTATTGAAAACATATGAAATGCAAAGGGCTCATTCTCCAAAATGATGTGTGCAAAGAGGCCTGTAACAAATTCCTGTACGTGGCGAAGAGGAGCGTTTTCTGATCTCAGATCGTAAAGGCTGACTATGGAAGCCAACGTCTTCTGCAGCTTCCCCCAGTGGGGTGTCTCAGAGTTGTGGGTGTTTGTTGTCGTGTCTGAATTTGCCAGAAGCCAGTAATGGTGCTATTTTTATCTCTGAAGTCTACAGTGAACTGGTATTTTACTGGCAACTGCTAGTTCTCGAAGTCAGTTCATTTTCGTCATTTATTCCCCACCTCCCTCTGGGCTCACCCACCGCATCAGACACCAAACCTTAGAGAGCTTCATGGAAGTTCCAATAAGTAAGTCTTGAAAATCTTAACTTTATAAAGAGGAAAGGAGTCTGATTATAACTGCACTACTTCCGTGTCTGGAATCAGGGCTACTTGCCAATATAGCGGAGGCTCGAGCCGCCCTGGCTCACACCTTCCCTGACGCCCTGTCCTGACCCGTTGCTGTACGCGTGGGAATCCTGGCCCCTGAGCCTGAGCAGCTTCCGTTGGCTTCAGGACCTTATTTACTGGCATCTAGCACGCGAGCAAGAAGCAAGGCTAACACAGCACAAGCCATCAACACCCGGGGACGGGGACGGGGACGGCAGAGCTGGAGGGGCGGTGTGGGAAGGGAGGCCCCAAATGCGAGGTTCTGGGGACCCCGCAGCCCAAGTTCAAACGTCTCTGAAAGAGTGTTGGCGGTGGGGAGCGTGTGAAGCCCAGCTCGCCTGCGGTCTCAGGCAGACCACGTCACCTCTTCGGACCTCAGCCACTCACCTGTGAGGTGATAGCAGTAGATCCCACCAGACGGTCCCCAGGGCTGTGTTAGCTCTCTCCTCGGTGATGCCTACCCCGCTCTCCTGTCAGGTTTCTGAATGATCCCTCATTCTAGTCATATTGCTACAGCTCCAGGTAAAGAAAGATAAAGGACTTATGAGTTTTATCCATATACAAATAAGCTTGCTTTCTCGGGTTCATTTCTAAATACATTCACTTCTTCTTGCTTTTCAGAGGAAAGTGGAGCCCTGACCCGGGCAGGGGGAAGGAGGGGCCTTCCTAGCTACCTCTGTGGCGCCACCCCTTGCTGCAGCCTGGCCTGCCTCCCGCACTTTCACACTCTGCCCTTGCTCACACCCTCCCTTTCCTCAGTTCTTTGAGCTTCCTGCCTCTGAGGCTTTGCTCACACCCTTCTCCCTCCTGAGTTTTCTCTCCCTCCTCTCCTTTGTCCATCCAAATCCCACCAATTCTTCGGAGCCTTCCTCACTTGCCATCCTCTCCCCTGGGCCCATGTGGGTCCACCAGACTGCCCTCTCTCTGGAGCCCTCGCGCCCTCATGGCGCAGCTGTGCTGGTTGTTAGAGGACTGTCTTGCTTCCTTTCTTGAAGGAGAAAACCTCCTAAAAATCCTTGAGTCTCTTATAGCCCTGACGGTATGCCTTGAACAAAGTGACTGCTCTACAAATGTTTGTTGATTGATTTTTTTTAATAATAGCTGCTCGATAAAATATGACACCACCTGTGCTGTTGTGAAATATATTTATTTGATCTTCATCTCAGTTTGCTGAAATACAGCTCCTAAAACCCTTGGACTCTCTGGAGTGATAGGAGTGTCTTTTGTATGCTAATGAGATAACTGGTGGCTGGGGGCCCCTAGACAGGTTCAGAATGGGGGCCGGTCACCTGGAAAGACCCAGACATAATTAGAGGTTTGAGGCCCAAGAGGAGAGAGGGGGCTGAAGGTGAAGTTGATCACCAATGGCCAATGATTTAATCAATTGCGCCTAGTAGACAAGCTTCCATAAAAGGCCAAAAAGACAGGCAGGGGAGCTTCCAGATAGCTGAGCACATGGAGGTTCCTGGAGGATGGTGCCCGGAGAGGGCGTGGGAGCCCCACAACCCTCCCCACAGGCCTTGCCCTGTGCATCTCTGCCACCTGCTGTTCACCTGTGTCCTTCCTGGCGTCCTTATCAATAAACTGGCAAATGTAAGTAAAGTATTTCCCTGAGTTCTGTGACTGGCCCTAGCAAATTGGACCTTTATCAGCTGCCTGTGAGGAGAGGGTCATGGGAACCCCAATTTATAGCCCATTGGTCAGAAGCACAGGCCACACACAGCCTGGGGCTTGTGATTGGCATCTGAAAGGGGGGAGCAGTCTTCTGTAACTGAGCCTCAACCTGTGGGATCTGACGCCATCTCCAGGTGAGGTTGCTAGCGTCAGAAGTGCATTGAGTTAGAGGACACCTGGCCGATGTCTGCTAGAGAATCTGCAGAAGTGATTGCTTAGCAGGGGTCCTCAAACTTTTTAAACAGGGGGCCAGTTCACTGTCCCTCAGACCGTTGGAGGGCTGTTGGAGAGTGCGGGCGCACATTCCACGCATGTGCACTGTGGGCCTGGGACGGCTGCTGAGCAGGACAGGCAGCAGTGGCAAAAACACCTGGGGGGCCGGATAAATGTCCTCAGTGGGCTGCATGTGGCCCGCAGGCCGTAGTTTGAGGATGCCTGGCTTAGGGTGTGGGGGAAAGAGCCCCATATTTTTGGTCACAGAAATGTTCTACATTCAGTGACTGTGAGAGTAATAAGTATGGTACGAGAAAAAGCAATGTGGGTTTTTTCCCTTCTATCTCTTGGTCCACTTTACCAGGAATTTTACATATCTTGACTTATCAGAGGCTTACAACTATTTGCAAGGGATCTTGATTCGTTCCCAATTTTCAGGCAGAGAAGCAAACTCAGAAGTTAGGTTACTTGCTTAAGGTAAAACAGGCCACCTGACACCAAAGTGCATGCTTTGGTTAAGAGCTTGAGCCTTGCAGTCTGATCCTCAGACTGGGCCTGGCAGACCCAGGGCCCTTCCTTGTTTATTCAGCCTCAATTTGTTCATCTACAGAATGGGGATGATATTAATAGTGCCTACTTCATAGGGTGGTTATGTGATATGGTGTCATACATGTGTCTAGCACATGGTTGATGCTAAATATATATTAGTTAAAATATTATTATCTCTATATTGGTACATTAAACACCTGCCTGGAAATAAACTCATTGGCTGCAAAGTGTGTAGTGCCTTGTGCTCAGTAGACACTTGGCAGATACTGGTTCCCTTGTTTGAATATTTGGGCTAAAGAGTCGTTTGGGTCCTGTCCCGGATTATCTCCTGAATAGGTTTTTCAGCTCTGATCGGGTCATCATCTTAGTGACAACAACACTGCTCTGCCCTTCCCCACTCCTTGCCCCACCCCCACTGACCCAGCAGGGCTAGGCACCCATCGGGAGACTGGAGACTGCAGCTTGCTCTGGGCAGCCACATGAGATAACCAGTGTTGGCTTCTGGCTGGAACTTGCTGGAAGTTGGACAGGCTCTCCTATTGTTTACCACACCTCCAAATCAGCTGGAGAAATCCCAGGCTGGTGACGAGGACCAGAAAGGGAACCCGCTCCCTGGGGCTGGGCAGAGACGGCTTCCCAGAGCTCATGAGATGAGGTCACTTGCTCCTTTCTCCAGGGTAATGAGTGACAGAGACACAGCCACATGGGCCAATGGAGAGTAAGATTAGAAGGAATGTCCTTAATAAACTCCCCAATGGGAAGCAGTTTTGCTTTGCCTCCGTCCCTCAGGGCATGAGACCAACCAGTCACTGGAAAACAAGTTTTGGTGCCAGAGCCTTCGGTGGTTCCAAGACTGCTTTTTCAGAGACAGGTACTTGAATCCTCCTGCTTTGGGCCCAGGGGTCTTTCTACCCATACTCTGGGAGTTTGGGGATATTCTTAGTAAGGTCAGGGGACAGTGACTGAAAGGTCACTGTGCCAGGAAGCACCCGCCTTGCCAGCTCACTCCTCTCCTCCCTGGCAGCTGGGCATTCTAAGCCGCAGACTGCCTTCCCTCTCAATTTATTATAGCTATTTTGAGAGAGCTGCTGTAAGAGGAGGCCGATGTGAAATAGTGAAGCCAGTACACTGGGCATGGCTGGCTGCCTCCTGCCTCCAGGGAACACACAGGGGCTGCGCTCCTCGGCCTGGCCCGTCCCGGCCTCGGCAGGCCTGCTCCCTCGGCTGGGCAGCCCATGGGACAGCAATCAGATTAACAACAACAACAAAAAAATGGCTGTGGAAACGCATAGACTGCTTGAGGAACAGAAATAACACTACACCCCATTGGAGGGCTTTAAAGTCTCACAGTGCAAGAGATATTCAGAAGCAGAAGAGAAAGCAGAGACCACCGACAGCCACACCCACGTTTGCCCACAGCCCCTGCTTACCCCCTCCAGAGCAAAGGCGCATTGCTGTGTGAGGGAGGCCACGGTTCACTGCGTGCCCTGATGCCCTGGCCACTGCTCTTTGGACAGAGGAGGACAGCTGTGCCCGGGGCAGATTTGTGGGCTGGCTTAGGCCAATAGGCTGCTCTGGGGCTGGCGCTCTGTCCAACAGGGGTGGCAATGACCACCTGGGACAACTGCATTTCCTCTCTCCAGAGTTTCAAGCTGAGCCATACAGAGAGAGTTAGAGAGCGTGAGCAGGCATGGACAGACAGACAGGGAAGCCAAGGCAGGCAGGGAAGCCGACAGTGGAGCAGGGCCCAGTGGGAGGGTGTGGGCGGGTGTCGAGCCCTCAGCAGCCCTCGTCCCTATGCAGGGTGCTGGTCTGGGGACGCCCAGCCCGGGCTCCTGCACGTCCACTCAGACTCTCACAGGAGCCCACTCTATGGGACAAGCTCAGTGGGTCTGCCTTAGTTACCACCTAAAGGGGCTAATCAAGAATGCATCAGTCTGTTTTGCAATGAGGGAGGGGAGGCTAGGAGACCACGGGCCACTCCCCAGGTCACAGAACCAGCCCAGGACTCAGTCCAGCAGGAATGCATGTTTCCCTATCTGGAAGCAAGCTCTCCAAGGGCTGGGGGAGGTCAGGTGTGGGGGGTACAAGGTGGGGACAGTGACCAGGGCAGATGGTAAGGAGATGATGAGTTCAGTCACTCAAACTTTCTGTAACGTCCTTATCATTCAAAGCACGTTTGTGAACAGTGAGAGTTGAGTTCTAAATTGCTCATGGGTCATGCCCACTCCTGACTGCCCCCAGGTGGTTTTTGGGAGCAGAAAGTACCCGGCTTACCTCACCAACCTACCCTAGGTTGTGCCCACAGGGAAAATGGGTTAGGAAATGGGGCAGAATGTGTAGAAATCTACCCCCAAATACAGACCTACTAACCAACCGTGTGTTCTAAAGGCAAATCCAGTCCAGTTTGGTGCTAACATCTAAAAGCCCATAGAGACCTTGCTGCCCATACCCCAGTGTTTAATGGGAAGAGAGCTTAGAGGAATGTTTTCTTTATCCCACAAGAAACATCAACAGGGCTGGGGACGGTGGGGGTAGATTAAAAAAAGAAACTGAAACACCAACAGGAGAGGTCTTCTGAGAGGCTGAAACCTAAGCGAGAAACTGTCAGGGCCAGACTTTGGACGGAATAATCCTGGAGACAAGGCGTGCAGCCCACGTGTCCCTCCTCACAGGCCCATGGACACGGCCCGGGTGGCGGTGGTGGGGGCAGGCCTGGTGGGGCTCTCCACCGCGGTGTGCGTGTCCAGACTGGCCCCCCGATGCTCCGTGACTGTCATCTCAGACAAGTTCGCTCCTGACACCACCAGCGATGTGGCAGCCGGGATGCTTATCCCTCACGCTTATCCAGGTGAGCGATCCCAGGTCCTCTGTCAGAGACGACGGATGTGGGATGGAAGGGTGCTGGTGGAGTTCTGCCAGCAGACACGGCTGGCTGTGTGCGTGAGTGCAGCGTGCAGTTGTGACATCCTGTTGGGTCATCTCCGAGGAAAGGTTCAGTGTTGCTGCAGGACAAAACCAACCTCCAAATCTTAGCAGCTGAAAAAGCAAAGGTTTTTCAGCAAAAAAAAAAAAAGCAAAGGTTTTTCATACTCGCTCACGCTGTATGTGGGCTGAATGTCAGCAAGGGTGGGGCTTGTCACCCAGGCACCCAAGCCGTGGAGCAGCTGTCATCCTGATTTATCGCAGCACACGTGCCAGGGGGGCAAGGGAGCTCCGGGGGTCTTGCCTCACGGTTAAATGCTCTGGTGGGGAGGTGATTTTCAACACGTCTGATGACAGCTCATTAGTAGAGCTAGTTACGTAGCCCCACCCCTCAGGAGGAGGCAGCAGGTGCCGTTCTTTGAGGTTCCCAGATGCAGAGCAGAAGCATTTGATGAGCAGCACTGAGGACTAAACAACTGGTGACTCTAAGCCTTTCAGAAGTTACTTGTAATGGTACTAAAATTATCCTAACTTCTAAGCCAGTATAAAAACAATTAGTCAGTATGTATTTAGGCCTGAAGATGCACTGATCTTTGAACCCAGCCATACATTCTTTGCATTCTGCCCTCTACACATTCAGTGAGAGGAGGAAATAGCATCAACCAAGATCACATTGCAGCTAACGAGGTTTATACACCCCGTCCCCACTTCCTCGTTTCCACTCTCTTTTTTTCCCTTTGGTTTTAGTTTTTATTCTTTGTCAAAGTTATATGTGCACATAGTTTAAGCATTCAAGTAATTTACAAGGTTGATTACACAAAGCAACAATCTGGAATATGAGAATCGCCTTGTCCTTTCAATCTGGAAACATCTTTCTGCAGTACAGGAAGCAGCCTCGCAGCGCTCAATTGTTAATTTCCTCCTCCTGACATCTCTCACTCTCTTTCTGAAATTGCTGTCATATGGGGCCTCCTGGACCGGCCCTCCAATTTCTTTAGCTTTTCCCCTCGCCTATTTCTATCTCTGTCTCTATTTTCCTTTCTCAAGATTTACCCAATTTTATCTTTTTCCTTGCTATTGAATTTTTTTTTCTACTATAACATTTTTAATATTGCAGAGCTTTTATTTTGTCCTCTGAATTTTCCTTTGTTATAACATCCTATTTGTGTCATATGGTTACAATGCCCTTTTTTTTTAATCTTCTGAAGATACTAGTAAAAGTTTTTCTCCCTACATAGTTTCTGTCATCTCCAAGTTGTGTTTTTTTGTGTGTGATGTTCTTATTTTTCATGAGAGAGGTTTTCCTTGCCTATGTGGGATTCTTTACCTGCCTGCTGATGTTTATGAGAGGGACCCTGCACAGACGGGAATTTCTGGGTGCTTGCAGCATTGCAGGTTCAGGAACTTGGCTAGGTCAGCTCCTGGGAGCTGCCTCCCAGGAAACACACACAGAAGCCTGGTGTGTTTGCTGGATGCCCCCTCACATTAGGTGCCTTCTTGGAACTGGAGTTCTCATGTCTATTTTCCAGTGTCTCCCTTGCTCGTGTTAGGCCTGAGTGGTCAGAAGACTGCCTGGTAGTCACGGAGTCATCTTCAAAGAGGGAGGCTCATCTGAGAGTTCATCCAGTCCACTGAGGCCTGAGCTGTCTTCAGCCACATGGCTGGGTCTCCTGGGCCGGGGTCTTTCTCTCCCTGGTGCTGCTGGATAAAGACTTTGGTCTTCTCTTTGGACTTCTCTCCTAGACCCTATTCAGACCAACCCCACTACTAAATATCTCCTGTATTCATAAATGTCAATCCCATGTGGGGACCATGCCTGTCCCATAGGGTTGCTGTGGGGATTAAGTGAGTTAATACATAGAAAGCATTTAGAGCAGTTCCTGGCACATGGTAAGTGCTATATCAGCATTTGCTAGTATTTCCGCCTCTCTGGCTACAGTTTTGTTTTACCAGCACTTGAACATGAATTATGTCGCCAGGCTTGCTTCACCCACTGTTGAACGGGAATTGTCTATTCTTTGGGGATGACTTCTGCAGCATGTGAGTCTCAGCCACGGTTTTGTCTTTAAGGCTTGGGGTGGGAAGAGGGATATGTTTCAATACAGCCCCACACGCTGGCACAGGTCGCTGGGATGTAATCCACATGAGGTCTCATTTAGTTTTCTCTGCAGCTTATTGTTTGTTTTTTCCTTATTTCTAAACCAGCAGCCCTGGTCTGCAATGTTGGAATATAGCGTTGAGTTCACATGGGCACATGTTTAAAGACAACAGTACAGATCCGATCTAAAGAAATATTTATTGGCTCTATAACAGGTGAATTGTTTTAAAACTCTACTACCAAAGTGCCCTCCCTGACCTGGGGGCTTTGTGTGGGGAGCAGGATGTTTCCAAGGATCTCTCTCATGATCTTTCTGCAGGAATCAGATGGCCACATAGTTCACCCACAGCTGGATTTGCCTGTGACTTTGGGTTGTGCCTGCTCTCTCTGCCTACATTGGACACTATTATTTGGGGCTTTAAACCCTGCCTCTTATTTCCTCCCTGACAGGCCCGGCACCCTTCCAGAACTGTGTCCAGGTCCAAGTCCCTGTGCTCCGGCAGGGATGCCTGGGGGATGGTGTGGCCCCCACACGCCCCTGCTGGCCTGAGGAATGCTCCTCTGAGCTGGCCCCTGAGTCCGTGGTGTGGAGGGTAATGGCCGCCCTGGCAGGGAGATCCGGCCTGCAGGGGGCTCTCCCCTTGTTCCTTGTAGGGCGAGCTACAAGGAACTCCTCCACATGCAATCTGTTCCCTGCCCTGGCGGACCTGGGCCCCCCAGACCCTTGTCATCCACTGCATTTCAGCCCCCAGGAAAGAAGCCCTGTGTCCTTTGTCCTATCGCCTCAACTGTGCGGCCAGCTGGATCTCTCAGCTGTAAACTAACCTCTGCTCAGCTTGGTTACAGACCCTCCGACGACCTCTGGAACATACCTAGTGCCAAGGACCACCTTCCAGCTGGCTCACATGTTAGGTTTTTCTGTGATTGGCCTGTTTCCCATCCATCAATTAATCATTATATGAGCAGACACGGATGGCGAGTGTCAACATGCAGCACTCCGGCTGCTGACGGATCCTCCACACTGTGGTACTTTATGCAAAATGTTGCTCCCTGCCTCCCTGTTTTTCCCCCGTTTCTAGGAAGGAGCTTATCTGAAGCACTGTCATTATCATCACTTTCCTTTCTGTTCCACTTTGCTTTGCTCCGTGATTGCAGACACACCCATGCCCAAGCAGAAGCAGTGGTTCAGAGAGACTTTTGATCACCTGTTCTCAATCGCCAGTTCTGCAGAAGCTGGGGATGCCGGTGTTCACCTGGTGTCCGGGTAAGTGAGGAAATCTCCAGTCACCTTAGAATTTAGGATGATCCTAACAGACATTGAAGTTCAACATGAACTATTTATCAAGTATCTCCAGCAAGCAGAGTGCTGAATTAGATGCGGGAGGATTTAGAAAGAACATTATAGGCTTTGCTCCAAAGAACTTAAGAAAGACAAGTTACAGTATTAGACTTTTTACACAATAAACAACCACTGCAGTTTCTCATCACAAATACTATTTTGAGTTTCCTCAGGAACTATGCAGTGATTTGCAAATTTGGCTAAAAAAAACTACAAAGGAGGTCAACATTGAGCTTGTGTTATGTGGGGACCTTGTGGCTAATGGAGAGCAAACAGGTGTGACGTTGGAATGAGAGCAGAGACCTAAGGTACAGGGACGTCTTACTTATTTGGTGTCCTTGGAGAATGAGATAATCTAAAGAAGCAAATTTTGCAGTCACTAAAGTTGCCTTTTGAAGTGCCATTTGGAAAAAAAGATTTCTGAAATGGTTAACACATTTCTATTTGATTTTTAATATCTGACTTCAGGAGACATGCATAATTAAATGGAAGTTTGAGAATAAATTCTATTTAACGTTTCTAACACAGACTAGCACTTAAAAAATGACAATATCTTTTAATATCTTCTTAAAGAGATCATTAAATATTCTACCACTTTTTTCTTTCTTTCTTTCTTTTTTTTTTTTTTTTTTTGAGACATAGTCTTGCTTTGTTGCCCAGGCTAGAATGAGTGCCGTGGCATCAGCCTAGCTCACAGCAACCTCAAACTCCTGGGCTCAAGCAATCCTTCTGCCTCAGCCTCCCGAGTAGCTGGGACTACGGGCATGTGCCACCATGCCCAGCTAATGTTTTCTATATATATTAGTTGGCCAATTAATTTCTTTCTAATTATAGTAGAGACAGGGTCTCGCTCTTGCTCAGGCTGGTTTCGAACTCCTGACCTCAAGCAATCCGCCCGCCTTGGCCTCCCAGAGTGCTAGGATTACAGGCGTGAGCCACCATGCCCGGCCTACCACTTTTAACTTAATTTAATTTAATTTATATCATCACCTGACATAACACTGTCTGTGCTGTCTGTGTAATCGAGTGTGATAACACAGCCTCTCTACAGCCTTCTGAAGAGCAGAGGATGTTTGCCTTTTGCTAAGCTCCCCAGACCACTACATCTGTTGTACCATTATTCCTGCTTTGGACATTTTGCCCCAACTCCTCTTTTGGTGTCAGGCTGCCCACTGGCATTTTCAGTGGGTGTACACACCTCCCTCAGATGGATTTCAACCCTTTTTTCCCTCTTTTTGTCTTTCTTCATTATCACAAACACCAAGACGACGCTAACATCAATAATTTCCCAAAAGCCCCTCTGCCAAGTAGCAGCTTTTGCTCCTCTATCAATCTATGGATCGATTCTTCTCTGTAACTATCTCCAGAGCCAGCTGATGAACCACAGAGAAAAACTGTTTACATTGATTTATGGTCACTCTTTGTTTTTGTCCAAAACCAACATGATCCAGTCTAATTCACAAACTTCAGCCCTAAGTAATTTTTGGAAACAGCCATGTCCAAAATTCAAATGTTCTTTCAAGAAGAAGATTTTGCAAATGCCCTGTGCATCTCTAGCATAAGCGTATAGCCTTATTCATTCATTTATGCATTCATTCAAAATGATTCATTCAGCACTCTCTGGTGTCGGGCACTCTCTTACGTATCAGGGCCGCAGCAGTGAGCAACTTAGTCACGCGCTTGACACACAGCAGATGCGTGCTTGATAAATGTGTGTTCAGTGAATTTTTAAGGAAAACAGACACAGTCCTGCCCTCATGAAGTTTATGGTCTGTAGGGAATGCACTAAATCTAATCAGTTACCAAACTCACTGGGGCATGAGTTGACAAAGAGAAAGAGGACAGGGTGCCATGGAAGCAGATGTCTAGAGAATAAACTTGATCTGGGAAGTTATGAGAAGCCACCCAGAACAAAGAGTTTCATCTGAGACCATGAGGAAGAGTGTAAGCTAGTCTGGCAATGTCGTGGAGGTGAAAGGGGACAGAGACAGGTGGGAGACAGAAGAGACAGCAGTCCAGGTAGAGAGACCAGCACACACATAGACCTGAGTCTAGGGCAACTGCGGTGTGTTGGAGGGACTGAAGAATGTCCAGGGTAACGGGGAGCCTCTGAGAGGGTTTTCAAGGTGAAGTAACTGATCATATTTGCATTTCAAAAATATTTTGCCTATAGTGTGGAGGATAGCTTTGTGGGAAGAGAGAGATGATGGGATCAATCAGGTGTTGATAGTTGGGATAGAGAGTGGATGGATTTGAGAAATGCCTAAGAGGAGACTGGATGGGACTTGACAGTTGATGGCATGTGGAGGATAATGGGGGAGGGAGAATCAAGGATGACTCGTGAGTTTCTGTGTTAGCACCTGGGTGGATGGCTACCATTTTCTGAGTTGGGTAAGGCTGGAGAAAGAGCAAGTGTGAGTGTGAGCATGTGTGTGTGTGTGTGTGTGTGTGTGTGTGTGTGTGTAAACGCATGAGAATCTAGGAAGAGTTATCCAGTGGGGAGTAGGCAACATGGTCTGGATCTGGTTTTGGAGCTCAGAAGAGAGAAGAGGGCTGGAGACATAGCCTTCTGAGTGTTTGGCCTGTAGCTGGTGGTGAATTTATGAAAGAGGGCAATGTAGCCCAGGGCGAGTGTGCAGAATGCAGCAGGAAGTGGGCCAGCATACAGCCCTGCAGCAAGCAACGTTTATATTAATACCTTCCTGGGGACTGCTCTGAATGAATTACTTAGAGATATAAATTCTGGTATGTTAATCATTAGCAACTATTGTTAATGCTATTTTAGAGCAATGATTTACAACATTTATTCATTTACTGATGAAGACAACCCAATATTTATAAATCCAAACATATGCATAGCAGCTATAAGTAGTACTGTTATTATAGGCTTCTTGTTAACCACCAATATTGTTCTGGGCTCATCCACCCCAATCATGCCAGTGACTTAATGATAACAGGGCTCCTCTTGGCAACCCTTGCCTTCTCACTAGTCCTATAGCTAAACTTGATGACTTAAAACTTAACTCATAAATTGTACCTCTGCTTCCTTCACACCTGCCATTGCTTGTTGCAATTTAGATATCTCATTCAGAATTGAGGCTAACCTTTAAACTTTTAATGTTTTGCTTACAATTTATGTAAACCATTGTGCAAAGCAGGAAAGACTTTCCTCAAAAATACACTGGCATAAGAAAATAAAGAAAAATTGGGCGAGAGCTTTTTAGAAAAGGAGAATTAAATTCAACCTTTAAAAAATGTGTTATTTTGGCCGGGCGCGGTGGCTCACGCCTGTAATCCTAGCTCTCTGGGAGGCCGAGGCGGGCGGATTGCTCGAGGTCAGGAGTTCGAAACCAGCCTGAGCAAGAGCGAGACCCCGTCTCTACTATAAATAGAAAGAAATTAATTGGCCAACTAATATATATATATATAAAATTAGCCGGGCATGGTGGCGCATGCCTGTAGTCCCAGCTACTTGGGAGGCTGAGGCAGAAGGATTGCTTGAGCCAGGAGATTGAGGTTGCTGTGAGCTAGGCTGACGCCACGGCACTCACTCTAGCCTAGGCAACAAAGCGAGACTCTGTAAAAAAAAAAAAAAAAAAAAAATGTGTTATTTTGGCTAGGTGTAGTAGCTCACACCTGTAATCCCAGCATTTCGGGAGGCTGAGATGGGAGAATTGCTTGAGGCCAGGAATTCAAGACCAGCCTGAGCAAGAGTGAGACCCTGTCTCCACAAAAATAATAGCCAGGCATGGTGGTGGGCACCTGTAGTCCCAGCTATTTGGGAGGCTGAGGCAGGAGGGTCAGATTACTTGAGCCCAGTAGTTTGAGGCTTCAGGGAGCTATGGTTGCACCCTGCACTCCAGCCTACACGACAGATAGAGAAACCCCATCTCAAAAAGCAAAAAGGTATGTTATTTAAAAAATATCTTATTGGCCTAAACATGAACATTTGAAATTTAGCTACTGAGTTATCTAAACCCAAGAGAATGGAAGAATAGATCTTTTTCTCTTTGTATTTATAGGAAGTGAATTTTTATTAATAGAGTGCTTTAGAGAATATGTCACATGGAGTTTACTAGAAATATGTTATTTCACAAAATTTTAGGGAAATTTTCCACTTAATATTTTTGAGTTGGCAGATATTTCAGAGCCTTCCTACCGAAGAGGAGCCATTCTGGGCTGATGTGGTTCTGGGATTTCGGAAGATGACTGAGTCGGAGCTGAAGAAATTCCCTCAACACGTGTGTGGTCAGGCTTTCACCACCCTGAAATGCGAAAGCCCTGCCTACCTCCCGTGGTTGGAGAAAAGGTGGGTTGAAATGGCTTTTCACTGTTCCTTTATCTGTCACAGCAGCAAATAACTTCATAGCTATTCATACAATTTTGTGCTGAAAACCATGTCCTCCCTCAGAGCTCTTCTGCATGGTGTCTTGTTGCTTACAAATGGTTCAGGCTTTATAAAACAGCCTGGAGACACTGTCTGTGTCACAAGGTCTAAGTCACACCATGCTCGTGGACATGCCTGTCTTGTATTTTCAGTGTGCCCAGTTTGTTCCCACCTTCCCCAGCCCCAGGGGAAACCCACTTACTGAAACAGTACCTTAGTTTTCTTCATCTGTACAATGGAGAAGTTCGGAGAATAGGATTCCAGCTATAAAACAATGTAATTTACTCTAGTTCTTTGGATGAGAGAATCCTATGCTTATTATAAACTATTTTTGAGCTTTTTTTCTCATTTGTGGTAAAGAAAATAGCTTTGTTATTCTCTTTTGTCATAAATAAGAACCCTAAAACTGAGGGCCTATCCAAATCATGTGATTTCTTCCTGACCAAGTTCAGCTCATAATATCTTAAACTTGCATTTTGGCTTGGTTTTCAGGACGGTTTCCAGTTAGTTAGGAAACACATCAAGAGTATCCTTATTTGAGATACATCAATAAATCTATCTTTAGTTTGGTCTGGACACTGCAGGCATGTTGAGTGTCGTGAAACATTGGCCCTTTCAATTCTAAAATCTGTATATTGGATAGATGAATAGGAACAATGTGAATTATTGCATAAATGTTGGAAAAGTGACTTGAAGCAAAGCAGCAGCAACAATGATCTGGTCCCAGATGTAGGTTATGGGATACCTGATTCATATAATTCATTGATTATACAATTCTTTGTTGAACACCTATATATACCTGGCACTGTGCTAGAAGCTGGTCAAAAAAGGATAACATATGATTACTTTTTAAAAAGAAATTCCTGGCTGATGGGGAGTGATTGTGTGTGTGTGTGTGTGTGTGTGTGTGTTTATGTACATGAATTAACAATACAGTGACACACATGGTAAAGGTTAAGTCCAGATTCATGCCAGTTGGACTGGGAGCACAGAGGAAGGAGCCCAACTCTGCTGGGCACATGTCAGTGACATCATGATGTATCTTTGTAGCTTTTAAAGCACTTTTCTCACTGGTACCTCTTAGCAATTTATATAGGGCATTTTGCTTTTTTAAGTTCCAGTTTCATAAAACCCGTGCTTTTGTGCCTTTTTCATGGGCCTATAAATCACTGTGTGCTAAATTTGGACTTGTATGCCTCAGCTGTTAAGTGTACGTTTTGAGCCATCACTCGATGGAGTTGCATACCAGCCAGCATGCAAGTTTCAGCAGCATCACCGTCTTTTCTGAGTGGCAATGCTGTGTAGCGTTACACTCTTCCCCTAATATTATACAAATGACTGGAAGTAGAAAACTAAAAGTGTTAATGCTAGTGATAAGAAGTTGAGGTGTCATATACCTTATGTTTATAAAATTCAGAAAAGTGGAAATTATTAGGCATGCCAAATAGTGTCTGAGCTTTACTTTCAATACGATGCATATATTTTTTATTATGACCTCCCCAAAAAAACCCCAAATGGAAGAAATGTACAAAATGTTGTGTAAAAAAGGTGAGATGTCATTAGAAAGTTTTTAAATTTTTGCTATTTTTAATTGTCTTGTGCTGAAGTTTCATTATTACCCCCAAGGCTATCATGTTTGGCTTCTCATCTTGGACTTTTTTTTCAGGGATCAGAAAGGTCTATAGGGAACCAGGCTGGAGCCCTGTGGTCTCTGGCAGACGAGGAAAAGATGGGTGAGAGAGAACCCGAGAGCATTGTTCTCACTCAGAGAGACTGTCAAGGGCTGGCCAAGGGCTTTTCTGTGTAGGAATGGCTGGGGCTGTGCCAGAGGGCTGGTGAAGGATGCAGACTTAAGCCAAGTGAGGAGCTCCAGTAAACCTTTTATCCAGAGTCCTAACAGTTTGCTTTATTGCTTTCTCTTTATCTTTCCTCTTTATACATATTTTTTCAGAACCACTGAAAGTAAGTTGCAGACACGATGACTCATTATTTAAACACTTGTTCTAAGAACAAGGCTATTCTTTTATGTAAGCACAGTACTATGACAAAAATCAAGATCTTTATATCGATACAACACTATAATCTATGGACCTGATTCATATTCTGCCAACTGTTCCAATAATGTCCTTTGTAACTGCATTTATACATTTTTTTCTGGTCCATGATCCAATCCATAATCACATGGTCATGCATTGCCTTCAGTTGTCGTGTCTCTTTAGTCTATTGTCTCTCTTTATCTTTTATTACCTTTATAACTTTGAGTAGTATAAACAGTTTTGTAGAGTGGCCCTCAATTGGGGTTTGACGTTTCCACAGGATTGGATTGAGGTTTTGCATTTGGGTTGGGGAAGCCATAGAAGTAACGTTGAATCCTGATTGGATCATATCTGCGAGCACGTGACATCAGTTTGTTCCTTTGCTGGCAATGTTAACTTTTATCACCTGGTCTGCTAGGTGTCTCCACTGTGAAGTTACTACTTTTTCTCTTTGTAATTACTAAATGTTTTGTTATGATATACCTGTGACTACACAAACATCCTGTTCCTGTAGACACTAGTTCCCATGAAAGTAGTATTTTTGCCTACTAGTTTTAGCCTTCTTTGATGATTCTCACCTGAATCAATTATTACTGTGATGTTTGCCAAGTTATCATTCTATAACTCCTTCTATGTTTTGTTTGCTTTCTACTGTAAGAAAAAGCATTTCCTTTTCCTATATTTTTATTCAATTATTTATTTATATGAGTATGAACTCATGGATTCCTATTTTATTCAATGATTTATAATCACTCTTACTATTTATTTTGATATTCAAATTGTCCAAGGTTTGGTCAGTGGGAGCCCCTTTAAACTGCTCCTGTGTTGGTTTTTTTTTTTTTTTTTTTTTTTGACACATTCACATCACTTTTTAAGCGCTTCCTTACTTTGGGACACAACGAGATTCTGTACACCCCCAGTTTTGAGAAGAAAAAAAATGTTTCTTTTCATGAATATGTTCCTTCAACTTTTCCTTAACACAAACCTGAGGCAATACCACAATTTAATTTTATGGATTCATCACAGAAATAAATTGCCTTTACTCTTTTTTCTTCTCTTTCTCTCTGTCCCCTGAAGTTTTCCCTCTCTTGTGATAGGAATCCTGATTTTGGGTGTAGCCAAAGAACATACCCAGTACCAGACCCACTTCTACCACAACCACTGAGAAGACCAAGTTTACGTTTAGAATTCCTGGATTCCCAAGAGTGCTGCATCTTAACATGGCAGCAAGGGGGCTTAAGTGCACACCAGGAAACACCCCAGGCCGTGCACCCACACTCCATCCCATCCCCTCCATCCCATGCCCTCCCCCTGAAAATAGCCCCTTGGCCACCATTTGGGTGCACACAGTGGTGTGGGTGGCCCTTGGAGGAAGACAGCGCAGGCCCTGGACAAGTCTAGGGGATCTGGGGGTCCTGGTCTCCAGAACACGAACTAGGAGTGAAGGGAAAGGACTGTGGCTGAGCACATCTCTGTGCCGCAGGGGAGGGGCCTGGCTGGAGACCGGCCAGAGCAGGGTCTTCCAGGCGCCCAGCCAAGGAAGGAAGGGCTCAGATGAACCAGGGGAAGTTGTGAGTCCTAGTAATGGTCTTGAGCTTCTGGGTAACCACAGGGAAAGGATGTGAGGCGTTTCTCCCAATCTCTCACTGAAGCATTGGATGTAAAGTCTAGAAACGAGACCTAACTCGTGATCCCTCTTGGGAGAGGGGGCTCATTGCTTTCCTTTTGCTTTAGGAGACAAATAGTCGATAAGGTCATTGGGAGACAAGGGATGTTTTGATGAGGCAGGGAGGGAACCTGAAGGCCCAGGGCACCTGAAGAGATGTCACTGTGGGAGGAACAAAGGCAGGGAAGCCGCGTCACCCCCAGCGTGAGGTCACCTCCTCTGAGCAGTCTTCCTAAGTCTCCAGTTTGCCTGGCTCTGCTCTGAGCCATCTCTTCTGCAGTGGGGGTCCGAGAGTCCCCAGTCTGGCCAGGGAGTGACGCCAGTCCCCAGCACTGTCCTGCACCTGCGTGGCCACCCTCCATGCTGCCACTCTTGCCACGAGTGAAGGTTTTAGCTCCAGGGCAGCTCTCAGCCATTCCCACACAAAACAAAAGTCATCTGAACAATTTCTTCTTCCTGCATCCAAAGTATCACCTTCTGGAAAGCGGGCCCCAGGTTTCCACGATAACCATATTTTCAGGCCTGATCTCTCACTGCGGGATGAAGGCCCGGGAGCAATGCTGCTTCCCGCTCAGGAGGTGTGAGGCCCCTCTCAGCGTTTCACTCCGCTCAAAATAGCCTGGAGAGGATGCAGCCACCTGCTGACCACGCGGCCTGAGGACCCGGCAGATGGCTGTCGTGCTTCCTGTCTGTAGCTCGGCAGCAAAAGGATGGAGGGGCTGCTCTTGGCCCCCATAGAGTCCTGGGGAGGCCTTCTGCTGGCTTTGATGCGCATCAGCAGCTGGGACGGGAGTGGCTCACACAGACAGCCGCAGTCTGCTGCAGGAAGGACGTGGAGGAGGAGACCCTTGTCCCAGCAGGGCCCCCAGACCCGACCCTATCAACAGCTCTGCTCTTCAGCCCCCCGTGCCCTGATACCTGCTTCCTCCTGCCCTGCAATGCCCCCACGCCTGGGCAGCATGCAGCCACCTCCCGTCTGTGGGGTCCAGCTGGCACCCAGCCCCCAGAACCTGGCATCCCCTGGCCTCCTGGGGGTGGCCTTGCAGGGCAGGGTGAGGAGTGCGGTGGGCGAGTGAGACCTGGGTGGTGAGCCTGCAATCCCTGCCTGCTCCCCACACTCCCCGCGTACTCTGTGGCCTCCCACGCCCCTCCCACACAATGTTAAGTGTTTGACCTTCAGCCTTCTGCCTCGAAAATGAGCACTTCGCTCAGTAAGCCAC